TAATTTGTTGTAGTTGACCATTATTGGTTTGAATAGTTTGATGAATTAATTGAGGTTGTTGGATTTGTATGTTAGCTTGTTGGTGTGCAACATTAGGCGATGCTGCTACATGATTTGATGTATACGCAGCACTATACTCATTTTGAATGGTTTCAATTAAATTAAAAGCCAATTGTCTGCCATTTTGCAGTACTTCATTTTTGGCATGTCTATGTATTAAAGGCACACAGTTTAAGATATTTGTTTGTAATTTTTTAATAATTACAAAACTACAAAGCTGTATTTAAATGTAATTACTCGACACAAAGATGCAAAGGTTCAACTGATTCTTGTCCATTAGCTTCAATGAATCCTGAACCTCTGCCTCGCATGGTTACTACAGCTCCTGTTTCATTCATAATATAATGAAGATTGGCACCATTTAAACCTAATATTTTATTTCTGAGGTCAAATGCTGGCGGTGCATGATCTAAGCCAATTAGTACTTTTTCCTAAACATTTATACAGTTATGATGTTCAAATTAAATTATAATAATAAAAGGTTAAATAAAATGATATACTTACAATTCCTGCACCATTGATTAAAGGACCTGATGTTAAATTTGGATGTTTAGACATATCTTTATCTCGTTGAATCAAAGACTGAATTTTTTGAATAGCAACTAAAGTATAAAAAAATGAAAGTTAATTTCCTTAACTAATAGATTTATATAATAAAAAAAATATTCTTACGATCTAAGTTTTGTTTCTTTGGTCCCTTTATGAGTAAATGTAATGATCGCTCTGACGACGCTTGATTTTTTTCTTTAGGAGTCAAGTATCGTCCTCTAGTAACAATAACCGTACCTATACAAGAGCAATTAAAGGAACACACTATTTTGCTGTTTTTACACAATATAAAACAAGCAACATTTAAATATGAACAAAAATGTACCTTCTAGTCATAGTATAACTATTATTTATTCACTATAAATGAAAACAAAATACATAACAATTGAATGTCTGAATTTTTGAAGGTACCTTAATATTAGTTACATTTTAGTGCATTAATGATGATAAATTACCAGAAAATTCTTCAATATCATTTTGTATAGACTTGCTAGTAAGCAGTATACGATCAGTATCGGCCAAGTCGTTAATCTCAAATTGAGTCTTAAGCTGTGGTGTATTTTGTTGTGGTACTGTACACTGAGCCTATATAGAAAATTATAATAATGTGACAAATTATTAGTATATTGTTTAAAAAAATGAAATATAGACGATGTTTAACAAACCTCGGGTTGATCTCCAACACGTTTGGCCATTGCTGATTCTACTCTAGTCGCCATTTCTACTGCTAACTTGAGGTTGTTTGTTGGAATTGACATCATATTGAAGTGAATCTCCAAGATTCAATTAAACTACTGTAGTAACGCCCAATAATATGATCATAATCAATGTTTAAAATAAATAACAGCCAATTGCAGGTAAAATAAAAATATTGTGGGATCTCGTACTTTGTAGTCTAAATCACGATAGAAATAAATAAATATTTTTATCATGGTCTAAATGAAAACAAAAATATAAATATTTTTAATAAGTGTTTTATATCCGATAACAAACAACTGGATAGTGGAAACTGGAAGTCAGGATCAAACTTATTGACAGTTTCTAAAGTATGTTACGGACTAGTTAAGTAAACGAACACACATTCATCAGTGTGACCACTTTGATGATATTTTATCATCATTACTGAAACGAACAAAACCAAAATAAGATCAAATCTAGTTTAGCGCCCACGCGATTTTTTTTAGTTTTTTTTTTTTTAAAATGTATGGTTTTACGTGTACATCAAGCATATTAAAAAAAAAATCAAGGCGGACGAACTTCGTTTTGAAGTTATGAAGGTAAACTTCATAAAGTTTAGGTTTTCCGTTTCGTGTATTTCTTAGTTAGAATTTACAGTTTTCAATTTTTTTTTTTTTCAAAATGTGGACTTTTTAATGCCTAATCCATTGATATAATCAAAACTTACTTATCATACTTACTTTTATAGTTTTTGTACACAAACCTTGAAAAATAGCATTTTTGGAATTCATCCAAAATGTGGTCGAAAATTAACATTTCTTTTATTATTATTATTTTTAATTATTGAGATTTTGATAACAAAGTTTTTTTATTGAAGTTAAAATAAGGCTATCTGGCTTAATCTTAGAATTATAAACGTTCAAACACGAAGTGTTACGCTGAAGGACTATTAATTCCATTTCGTTAAACGAAATTAAAAAGTATCCTTCTTTAAGTTTTTCTCTGGTGTTGTAAATATTTAGAAAAACAAATGTTTAAAATGGTCTTTTAAGACTTTTACACTTTTGGTCTCATTTTTTTTTTTACTTACTTGGACAATTTTAATCGAAAATAATCCTCGGTTTCTTGTGTAAAACCATGTCGGATAGTAACAGGAAAAAGTAAAATAGCATATTTTGGTTGCACCTGGAGAACTGGCGGAGTAGATCGATTTTCGATTATAATAATTGTCCGAGTGAGTACAGCACATTTGAACTTTGTAATTTTAAAACTAAGCCAGATAGCCTTATTCTGACTTCAATAAAAAACTTTGTTGTTTATATGTCAATTATTACAAATAATAAAAATATAATACAAATAATAGAAAACCGCGAACTTTTTGAAGTTTTCCCTCATAACTTCAAAATTAAATTCATCCGCCTTTTTTTTTATATTCTTAATGTAAACGAGTAGGATAAAATAGGCGGTTCTCCACCAGGGGCAGGAGCAAGGAGCAAAGAGCAAGTTGCCAGTGCCGGTGCTATACCTATAACATGGCCGTCCGAATCGCCATGCCCTTCTTCATCGACATATATTTTCCCCCATCCCCTTTATAATTTTTTTTTACATGCACCACGTACTCAACTTATTTTGACCATACCTCTTTCTTCAAATATTTTTCCACATTATCAGCTACTTACTCGACTTACTCTTATCTATACCTATTTCGTTATCACATACCTACATCAACATCATTATCATATACTTTCGGTATCACTCTTAACCATACTATACCTACTGTTATATAGGTAAGAAAGTAACCTTACTATACTTTCAACTACTTTTTAACATTGAGTTGTATTTATACAACCTTAATAGAAGGGAATTTTTTTTGAAAAATTAAAAGACAAAACTTTTATAGATAAATACACATTTATTTATTATTTTTAACAGTACACAATATGTATACATATGTTGCATATTATTACACACAAAAGACCTGCCTTTTTTTATTTTGACTAAGAGTAGTTTTAATTCTATTCATTTTTATTTTTATCTTATAATTTAAATCTATATTAACATCTGCCATTTCTTTCTCCAGCCAGAAATCTGACACAAACAATGAATTCAGGTTATCGTACCAAGCTTTATGTAACAAACTTTGTTTCTGTGACGTATTTATTTAATTCGAATTATGACTAATTCCTTTTTTTCAAACGCGGACACTGTGTAACTTTAACATGACCTTTTATTTCTTGCATATCGTTTTGATTAAAAGGTAAAACAATCATATCTTGTAATATATCCAAGAATAATTGAACATTTTCCATTTTAGTGAACGAATTACTATTAAATGTAGTTACTCCATTAGTATTAAATGTTATAATAGTTTCTTCTGTCGGAAGGACTATTAATTCCATTTCGTTAAATGAAATTAAAAAGTATCCTTCTTCTTTAAGTTTTTCTCTAGTGTTGTATAGATTTATAAAAAAAAATTTAAAACAGCCTTTTAAGAAGTATACACTTTTAGTCTCATTTTTTTCGGCAAGTACTCAAACGTATGGATATTTTCCTTTATTATTAACAGTAAAAGCAGAAATTCGGTAAAAACCATCTGTATCCAAATTTCGCTATTTTTTATTAAAATAGTTTATTATATTTTTTTTTAATCGCATAGCCTCGTGTTCTTTCTCTAACAGATGCATATGCCAATCTTCAATGGAAATTGTCTTTGACAAATAATTTATTTTTATTTTTTTTGTATTTATTTCTTCCAATTTTAATTTTCAGTTTTCCCGCAGATGTTACGTATGCAGACGAGAGGGTCTATTTCTTTTATTGTATACGGATATAGTTTATTGGTTTTGTTACATCTTTTCCTTAGAATCTGGAGAAAAACATTGTTAGTTTTCATCAATCCAATGTCCTCGATATTTACTACAGTTTATAGATAAACAGTTAAAATTATACACATACGCATTATTAAAATATATATATTATAAAATAATAAGATAATAAAAGATATTTTATGATCTTATCTCTCTGTTTTCGTTTAACGGATAATTTAATTTGTATTCCAGTTAATTTTTTTGTATTCGAATTGCCCCAATATATGTATTGCAAGAGATTATTAAACACAACGCAATAGCTATTCTGTAAACTGTTTGTCAATTTCATTCAAATTTTAGCAATCGCACCGAATAAAACGGCACATATTGGAAATACATTTTACTATTTTTCAATAAACTTAAACTATCTCCCAGTGGTTTAAATACGTCGCCTGTCTTATAATAATTTCCAATGGCATAGTTATACATTGTCACCTCCAATCTTATTATGCCATGCTTTTTGGCTCGATTAGAAGAAAATGTTACCTTTAGACGTACATCTGGACAGTTGATAAAGTAGATAATATTGTATCAGATCTGTTTGTTGACGCCAGGACTGGTAATTTGGCACACAAATTTGCTACAAATTTTAATTCTAGCATTCGAATTTAACCATGTTAAACAATCTGTACCAACTGTTTTTATATTATCTGCAATTATATTACAACCATCTTTCTGCTCTTTCTGGTTACGAAAATTGTGATTGTCTGTTAGAAAACGAATGGAATACGAATATTGAAAATCCATATTTTTAATTTAATTCAAGAATAAGTAAAATATTATTTATTTCGGGGGGCTATTATTAATTTTTGGTGGGCTAAGGTCCCTAACACCCCCCTCCTAGTTGTGCATATGATAATAATGCCAAAATGCATTGCTCGCTATGTTCCGAAAATAAAATAATGAGATTTATCAACATGAATACAATATTACTAACGAAATAACATACTCAAAACAATATATTATTATACAAAATCTGTACAAAATTATTGTACAAATAAAATTATCACATTTAAAATTTAAAAAATTAAAACATTAGGAAACAGAAAATAAAAAAGGTAAACAGAATTGCCAATGGGTACATAAGAAAAAAAATACAATTAGGGTGGTAAATATCCATATGGTTTAGTAGTGAAATCCATTTCTTGTAAAATAATTTCATTTTGATAACGAATTTGTAAGAATTGTTTTAATGCTCCATAACACGGTTTAGAACAGAAATATTGAATATTAAAATAAGTTTGTGACCTGTAAAATAAAAACAGTTAATCAAAATAACGACATAGTTGTATTTGAGTTTTGAATAAGAGTATATTGTTTAATTATTGTATAAATACGTATTAGCACCAGTGCTTGAATTGGAAAAATAAAATAAGCGGTATTATGATGCCGAAAAAAAATAGTGTCCCTTATATTGAATTCGACCGAATTAAGACCATAAAGAAAAATTAGAAGTGGTACGCTAAAACATTAATAAAAAAAAAAATAAGTGGTTCTCGGTCTTCCCAGCTCCCCCCCAAATTCAAGCACTGATTATAGTCTAACACAAAAACTGAAAAAAGTAATTTTCGGCACATATTATAGAAATGGTAGTTTATAATCTATAATTCATATACATAAATGTATAGTGTATAGCCATAATGGATAAAATAATATGTTTTAATTTATTATATACCAAGTACTTGGTATATTTATTGGTAGACAATTTTAAAATATGATGGCTTACTCATGTTTTATTAAACATATGTAACTGTATGTAAACATGGGCCTTAAACAATGCATACAAGAAGAGACTGGCCCGGATAATAATTGATCGTGTAAATGTTTAGGGATATGTTCTTGAGAAAATGGAGTCTTCCAAACGTACAGAACCCTGAGAGCGAATTCTTTTAACGAGGGACAGTGAACTGCTGTTCCTCGAACACTAAATATTTGTTTGATTTTTGGTGATATAATTAATTTGTGATCGTTGCACGTCAGCGTTATATTTGGTAACTTATGAACTTCTAAAAAACTTTGAGTACCGCAATTGTCAGCTCTAAAAAAAAAAATAACCAAAAACCAGTAAACTATTGATTTTGAAATTTGTTAGTAGGTATCTACTTAATATTCAACGGCACATAATTCAAAAAAGGATTATGATCCACTTTGACTGTTGCTTCCTCTCTGAAGATTACCGCTGGCACGTACAAAAGATTGTTGTGGGTGAGTGATAGATATTCGATATTTTTCAAACGAGCCAAATTATCTGGTACGCAAATTAGTCTGTTGCCGTTCAAATATATTTCACCCAAATACAACTGTTCGGGGTAGATTTCCGGTAAAGTTTCGATTTCGTTGTGGGATAAATCCAGTAACCACAGAGACTGCATGTTGACGATTTCTTCACGTTATTATTTGCGAAAAGAACAAAACATACGTGTATCAATGACATTGTAATAATAATCATTCAAGTTAGAATACACATAGGTTAATACCAAAGGATAAATTGTTTTTTTTTTTTTTTAAATAAAGTTACTTACCGGAAGGGACGTTTTTTATCATGTTACGGGACAAGTTAAGTTGTGTAAGTCGCTTGAGTGTTGACAACGCGGGAGGGATATGCGTTATAAAGTTGCAAGGCGCGCATAACACTTCCAAACCTATCAACTGAGTCAATTCTTCGGGAAAACTCGACAGTTTGTTGTTTCCCAAGTAAATGTGGGTCAGTTTCGCCATACTGTTTATCCATCTTGGCTAAGAAATAAAATAATAAACACAATATTATATGATTTCAGAAACAGACACACACAATAATAAATTATGACTTATGAACGACAAATAATATACTAAAATTAAACAATATAATATAGGTACGGCAGTAGATACAGTGACGCGGTGAACGATATTTCCTCAATGCAATTGCTTGGCCCAAGAAATGTAATTCGGGTTGGGAGAGGAAATGGATACATTTTATTTTACTTGTAGGGTTTGATACAGTAGCGTATACATGATTTTTAAATAGAGGGGTTAGGATCGGAGATGACATCTAGGAAATATGTGAGATGGTAGCAACTCCCCCAAAGACATATTTTCTCGTATCCCCTGCATATTTTAGCAGTTTTTATTTTTTTCGCAATTACTACAAGATTTCATTTTTGATTAATTTTTTTCACTCACAACTAAAATCACGATTATATATTTAACCAGGGCCGTATTTGACGGAGGGTTTTAAGGGCACTTGCCCCGGGCAGCAGATGTTTGAGGGGCATCTGGATGCCGGAATACTATATGAACAATTTAAAACTTTGTTACCCTTGGTTTAGAAAATTTATGAAAAAAAAAATATCAACTTCTAATAAAAATCGATTTGTATTTATATGATTTGGACTGCAGATTAAAAAGTCAAAATTGCATGTGACAACATAATGGCAATGGGGCCCCCAGTGAACACAACAATTTTGCAATAAATATCTAAAATAGTAATAATAATAATAAAAGGCGATGCGGGAATCAAACCCCGGCCATACACGCCCCTGGCTTGGAATATGATCACGACGTCACTTGATAGGTACGCACTGAATTATTAATAAAAATACAGCTTGAACTTACTAGCTTTTCAATGAAGTTGTTTTTGATGTAAAGTTGATACACTTGATCTTTGTACCGTTTCAAATCTTCGGGGAACTCGATTAGATTCCTGTCGTTCCAGTGCAAAATTTGACCGATGCCGAAAGTCGCCGTCATGATTTTGCGGAGCATGTCAAATATATTTTTTATTTTTATTTTTTTTTTATTCAGTTTAAAGCTTACACAATACTATAAATAATTATTGGCAGTCGCCCAAAATTAGTGACGTTTAATAGGTTAGTGGACCGTATTAATATAGATTTTTTTTTTCTTTTGACAATGAATAGTATTAACAATGCCATAGAATATTGTACCCAATTTTCATCGACATAGAAACTCAGCACTCAGCACGGTGGGCGAATTTGATTTCGAGGGTGAATTATGTTGCAAACAGAACCCGATTCTTATTACGAAACTTTGTTATTTTGTTAATTTTTAACTAAAAAATAAAACTGACATACTACGCAGAAGGATGGGTCATTATTGTAGGTCAAAAGTTCGGAAGGTAGAGGGGACATTTAATGTATATATGTACGCAACGATTAATCATTGCTAATGAAAAACAATTCTGAGCGGAGTTCGGTTAATAGTATTACTTTCAAAAAACTGCTATCATTGTAAATTGGAGCACAATTGCTAGTATAGAAAAGTTGTACACAAGAAAAAAATGGCAGTAATATTTTTTTACTAATACCAATATTTTGTATATTTTCCTATTTTTAGTCTTTTTACTGGGAAAACTCGTAGGAAAATCAAAAAATGACCTTCTTAAAGTACCACTCCAGAAAATTCTCTTTCCGAAAAGGTGCTATATTTGATATTTTGGATCGAATCAAGTTTTTTGGTAAAAATTTAGTACACAGTATAAAAAAAAAAAAACATAAACATCTTTGTACAACCAGTAAATTTTACACTATATTCTGAATCTAAAATATTGATGTTACTAAGATGTGTGTGTGCTTTCTTTTGTTTTATTATTATTTTATCTTTTTTAACTATAGAAGTAGTTTGTGGGAGCACATTTTGTAAGTACAGTATAGGAAGTATAGTTGGTGCATTGGGATTTGGGAGGTCATTTTATGATTTTCATTGTAGTTTACCTAGTAATTGGGGGAAAAAAACATCGACAAAATTAATTTTGTCTTTACAAATTAATAATTTTCAGTTTTTTAAACTCAGAATCGTTTTTCGTATACAGTAATTTATTAATGCGTACAAATATGAATTAAATTGCTAACCTTACGAATACTATACCTTATCGACTTCCCACTAACAGCACGCCCATGTAGGGGTGCCGAACTTAATGTTGAGGTCGGGCCTTGGCTCGCATTTTTTTTAAAAATTAAGTACTGGGCCGCTTTATTTTGGGGCAGTTTTGGCAGCCAAACTGAATGAATACTTCATTACAGAAATACAAACCATAATTTTGGATACAAAATTGGCTATGTTTAGTGATTGGGGCCTCTTGAAACGTATTTTGCTCGACTGCATTTTTAAAACTTCGGCGCCAGTGCGTCTTTTTATTTTCCTATGATGGATCTGGCGAGTGTTGAATATCAAATTCTTCAAACATTTATATACACGGAGAAAAACATTACTTTAGTGCCCTTTCACACATAAATAATAATATAAAAAAAAAAAAAACTTTAAAATTCAAAATAGTCGTGAAGAATTGATGAGAAACAAAATATTTTTAAAATAATGTACACCGCCGTTGTATAAATTGTTAATATATAATAATTATTTGAAACTATCACCATCAGTGGGCTATTATACTAGTCCGATACTTTTGATAAAAATAAAAGTATTTATTGTTGTCCGTCATTATCATTACCCACGCTATACTGAATTAAAGCGAAATTGATAATCCCGATTTTTTTTTTCTTTACTCGGTTTTACCCATTATTGGGAGAAGTACGCGAGAATAAAAACAAAACGATCACCCCAATGCATCAACGAGCAGGGGCGGGTAGGTATGATCTAACCAGCTCGGGAAAAATATAATGAACATATCCAAGATCCAACGAAAAAATTACCTTAACCTTGAATGCACCATGAACCCCCACTTATTTTTTAAAGAAAAAAATATAAATTTAATACACTATTACAGGAATTACATTATTCCAATTTCAATAGAAAAATGTACGGTGCTAACAAAAAAAAGGTCTTCCATATACTATTAGGTACCTATATTAAGTTTCAGAATTTGAACTTAATACAATGAGGGAGGAGTTTAAATAACAACATTGAAGTTTTAATTTTAATTATTTTTATTGATTTCGTAAAATAAATGTGTAAATAAATATAATATATAATTAGATGTGTTAATAAAGTATTGTTTCTGGTATACTTATAATGCCTTCCTTTCTTCCTGGTTTATTTTCCAATAATAATTGTAAGTATTTAAAAAATAATTACAATTAGTTTATATTCGGATTCATTATTACGGAAAATGTATACAAATATGTCTACCTAAATATCACTTTACCACTACCTATATTGTATAATGTATAGGCTTCCATTTTGCTTCAAAAATTATATTTAATTTTTAATAAATCGTATAATATTATTATTGTACATAAGTAATATAAATCATAATTCATAGGTACTTGGTAGGTACAGTCCGCGTCGGCCGCCGATAAAAATGGGCGAGGGGGCAGCGGCGTTTATCAGTAATATTATAGCCCAAACTAGTTGCGATGTATGATTTGGCCATGCCACGCGAATTGTTTGTTATAATTTTATAAAATTAAACGATCTTGGTTGACCATACAAACACATATTTGCGCCGCCACTGTCGTGTCGACTTATCAGACGCGGATTGTAAAGTATTTGGAAATTGTACATAACGAATTTATAGGTATCCAATAATAATTATGATTGGTATGTAATTACTATGTACTTATTGTACATATATGCCAAGTGACAACGGAAAGCCAAAAACAGAATGTAGCCAATAGTTAGAAAAAAAAGAAAAGTCAACTACAGACGTGTAGGTACTTTTATATTTTATACTAGTTGATGTGAAACCACGAATTAAGATACCTATATAGATTACAGTATTTTTGTAATAACTTTGAATATGTATGCTTCATGTACATTACACAATAGCAGTATTTTTCATCGGCCCATTTCCGTCAGTATAAGTAGCGTCACACCGCGAAAATCCCTGTGTCCCCCACTGTCAACGAGATACAAAAACGCTAAAAAAAATGTTAGAAAAGCAAAAAAAAGACCGATACAGTCGGAGCATTTTGCAATTGGATCGAGTCGTCTAGTTGAATACCCGTTCGCGGTATCAAAGACAAAACAAAATAACGAAAAAGAGCGCACCACTTCATACGTAAAGACACGGGTAATCAGGGGCGAGCCCAGGATTTTGTCTCGGGGGTGATTTAAATTTTTTAACGTTAGTAACAAATTTACAACTACATTATTAAAATAAGTAGGTAGGTAAAAATCTGTATAAGTGCAGCGGCGTATGCAGGGGCGTATGTTAGGAGGTGGTTACCCCCCACCCGAAATGTCTTCGAAATAAAAAAAAAAATTCCAATAGTTTGAAAAAAGAATAAAGTGTTATTGCACTTAACAGTTTACACAAATAATGCAATTTAATAATATTCAAGTCCAGTCTAGTGTAGTGTGTATATTATAATAATACTTAGCTGATATTTTCAAATAGTAAATCTTTATTTAAAAACTGCATTAGAAGCTGCTAATGTTCAAAATAATATTCAGGATATAAGAGAAAATTATGATGTAGATTTTTAACAGTTATTTTTATCCGTAATGAATGTCTGTGGAAAATTTGATATTACTGTTAGTTTGCCACGTCAATTTAAATCAAATGATCTAGAATATTTTTTTAAGTATTCATACCTTTTATAGATAATTGTTTAGACCAATTGAACGAAAGATTTATATCGCACAGAATTGTTTTGAATAATTTTGATTGTATTTTACCTAAGATAGAAATGAAAATATCTGAAGATATTAAAGGTAAATTCAAACAATTAGTAGAAACCTATCAGGATATAATGAATGCAACGATTCAGATTTAAATGATTATATTTTAAACGGAGAATTAGATTCGTGGTACAATAAATATTCAAATTTAACATCTTCCGAACTCAAGAACAATAATACTACTGAAGTATGCTTCCAAGCTAGCCCAGACGTTCATCCAGTAATATCTAAACTTGTAAATAACTGTAAATAAAAATATTAGCGCACGTATAAAGTGTAAAAAATAATAATAAAATAAACAAATTTTTAGAAACCAATACTTTTCGTAATTTATACTAGTGTGCATTACGTTCTGTTTGAAGATTAAGTAAATTTTGAAACTACTTCGTCTGGGTCTACCGGCATGTCATTATGGATTGATTAGAAAAGCTAATCCTGCGAATCGGTTTTAACAGGTAGTTTTTATGCGACGTTAAAACTCGAAAAAGGTCGTTATGCTGTCGCAGATCGCAGACTTTTTTTTTAAAAACCAATAACAAGGTTAACAATTAAGGAGGCAATTTAGAGGGCGGTTTGAACCCCTGAAACCGGGCACTCCCCCGCGGGTGTAACACGCGACAAATCGACACGTACAAATAATATCTTACAATATTAAAACGCGCGCGGAACGGGGGGGGGTAAGGAAATCTAAACGTGAAACAATTGTGCGTGTAGTATATTACGTAGGTTAGGTACTATATCGGTACTTACGCGTTGCTAAAATCGGTGATCGACCGATACGTGCACTCGAGGTCGATACCGTAAATTTGTTTTCCCAGCGAACATACGTTCATGATACACCCGCGGTCGATAATGGCAACGGTGTCGTGACGGCGCGGGAAATCGCGACGGAAATCACCAATCCTGTACGGCCGTCGGCCAATAATTTATTGTTTTCGTTACAACAACAACAACGACAACAACAACAACGTAACATTTTATTGCTCTTCGCCGCGAGAGCTATAAATAGCAGACAGGCAGTGCCGCGGCGTAGCGCGCGATATTACGGAACCGTCGTTCCGTCCCTCGCCGTATTTCGTCGTCGTTATAATAACGGTAATAATATCACAACGCGGACGATATCGGTAACAACATCGTGGCCGGCCCGTCGTCTACGCGCGCGCGGCAAATAAACGAGAAATTTTCGATAAGAACCCTCCGCAGCGCCCGGCGGAACAATGCGTTCGGAAATTCCGCGATGTCGTCAACGGATTCGTATCGGGGCGGGAGAACGGCTGTTTAGGTACACGGACAACGAATACCGGTGTGCGTTTTTGCAGACATTATCGCGTCAACTGTTTATACGCGCCGCACGATAAACCGTATGGTAAATGTAACGAACACGCGATTCAAAATCAAACGGTTGTACACACACATATAGGCGATTTGAACAGAACATTTGTAATACATTCAACTATTATGTAACCTATACGATATCAGTTGTTATTTTCGACATCAAAAAGATTACCGAGTCTCGCCGAGCGGAAACCGGCGCGGGCCGCGGGGGGTCCGGAATATAATACGATACCATTATAACGTGTAGTATTTGCATAAAATTTACGGGCCGGGGAAGGAAATATGAAAGAAGTTTGAAGATCACGAATAAAATTGACGAGTACCCGGTATGAAGATTTGGGAAACGAATAGGTAACGATTATAAGAGAGGAAAAAAAAAAAAAACATTTAAAAGTCCGACATCATTAACATCTGAGAAGTTCGGTGTAATCAAGGCGATCGTACGTCCCGTTTTGGACGGGACAGTCCCGCTTTTTTATCGCGCTGTCCCCCGGCGAATCTTCGGGACGCGAAAATGTCCAGTTTTCGGAAGGCAAGCAGATAAAACTAACGAGAACCAATCGTGTACGCGGCGGAAGGTCCGGTTTTCTACTAGTCAAACTCCCCGAACGTCGTCGCCGTTTAATGGGACTGATCGAAGAAAACACGTTCCAGCGAAAAACGTACCGTACTGGCTCGTTATCGCCCCGCCGTCCGCATGACGATAAATGCATCGTGAAAATGTAAAATGATTCGACGGGAAATGCGTGCTGTCGCCATTGGCTGCCCCCGCCATAGGCGTTTATCGCAAATAATCAATAATGTTATAATTAAAACCGACATGGGGAATAATGAATTTATTTATTGATATTATTAATCTTATAATCCGACGATATAATATCACGGGAGTCGCAAACATTTTTCAACGTTTCATCATTATTTTGTAATTATTATTCCATTTTTTAATTTTAATTTTTTTTTCCTTTCAATATTATATCAATACGTCGTCCAATTATTAGATTAATAATTAATATCAATAAATAAACTCATTATTTTCCATATGGGGATTATCGGGAGATCGCGACTGCATCGAAAAGCGACTGCTTCCGTTGTTGACAACCACCTCGAAATCAAACATTTGGATGCTATCAAAGTGGTTGTCTGGAACGTCCACTGTATCTGGAACATTCATTTTTACAACAAACAATGTAACAGATCACATCTGTAGTGACGAGCAACTGCTTCGTTATCGTTTGACAACTACCTCGATTTCTTATCAACGCTCGGTGGTTTATGATCATAAATGAGAGTAAAAAAAACAATTGAAGTGTAAAAATTCGATGAAAGTTAAAATACCAGTTGCCGCTACGCTGCTAGGTGTTTGCCATTTTTACCCCTTTTAACACATTTTAATCACCTTAGGGGTTGAGTGTTCAAAAATCCTTTCTGCCTACGTCATAATAGCTTAGCTGCATATCTGTGTGTCGAATTCCAGCCCTGTCCAGCGGTTTGAGCTGCGCGTATATAGATCAATCAGTTCGTTTTATTTTTATTATATACACTTACAGATTAATTTGAAAATATCATTTAAAATTATAGTTAAAAACAAATCGGTATCAAATCAATTAATAGACATTAAACTGTCACGAATAACAGTTTCCTCGACCAGAAACATTCGTGGAAATTGTTATCCGTGACATTTTACTATCAGTGCAGTGTAGTATCTAGATAGTTGTTTTCCAGGCAATATGATTTATGTCGAAAATATTTGGTCTAGACAATAAATAACCGGTGCGAAATATTCGAGGTTATTGTTAATCGTGGCATTTTACAATCGACACACAGTCGTAGCATCCCAAAAGTATACTGTAGCGTAGAATTTTCTTCGTAACTATTGAATAGAAAAAAAAAAATAAATAAAAATATGTCTATTATAAAAATCGGTTACTTATTAATGAACAATAAGTTCAATTCGTTTCATTTTTGTTCCGTGAAAATATAATAATAGTCGTATAACTTTGTTTGTGATTATTGATGATAAAAAAAAAAAAATTTTTTTATAGTAGAAATGATAATGTATTTTTTTTTTTTTTAAATCCTTGGGTATAGTGCTACGGAAATTGACGATTCAGCCGGCGTTCTTGTTGTTTTGGCGCGAGACAGGACGCGGATAAGTATAGAGACGAAAAACCTATTTTATGGCTCTGATAGATTTAAAGAGGCACATTACCGAGTGCGCCGAGAGAGAGGTACTGATGCGGGCGTTGGCGAGTTCCGGATCTCGTGTATCGGTATTTGTTTATTGGACGCGTGTGGTGCGCAAATTCAAATATTCGAACTATACGGGCGGAAGATTTTGAGATTGGCGTGCATCACCGGGCCTCTCGGTTTCGAGCCCTTTACCCGTTTTCTCTTGTTTTTACGGGCGAATTTGCCTTGCACAAGGTAGGCCGCAGACGTACCGCGTGCCTACGCCTACTCAATTATTGCGTCGTACAACCATTTTGACATTTTGAACCCAAACAAATTCAACGTGACCGCTGGTTATTTACGTTAGTATTGTAATTGCCTACTGGTAGTTTAAATTATATAACGCGTAGTTACAAGAACCTCGACCCGAGTGCGCGTAGGTATAACTTTCGTCGACTTGGTCGAATATCTACCCCGTCCGGTACACTGTTCCAGTACCAAGGTAACGACAGTGGCGGTTTTACCCTCGGGTCGTGGCTTTTTACAAAATTTTATTTTTCACCAAAGTAAAATATCTAATAAAGACTTGTACGTGTCCACACGTCGATGGACAAATTTACAATATTATTGTAGGTATTCCATTGATTCGATACTAAAATATTGTGTCGTTAATTAATTTATTGAATTTCCGTTTTCTTTTAAAGTACTTAGCTGTATAAAATAAAAGAGATGACCAGCAGATGACGGATGACTATTGTAGGTGGAAGGTTGGGAAGGTACACGGGGTTATTTAATTTTTAAACTTGTACGCGAAGATAAACCATTGCTAACGAAGAACGATTCTGAGCGAAGTTCCTCGAATCATTTTTCGAATAAAAACCTCTACGTGTCCGAAATTACAAAAAACAAAGTAGTTCAACGTTAAATTTGTTATTGAAATTCAACACTTGAAATCAATAAAAAATATAATAGTTTTAGTAAGTTCTTGTAGTCTGCTACGAGAACAGAGTCCGAAAATTCTCGATTTTTCTGGATGACTGGGAAAAGAGACGCAGCACTTGAAGGGTAAAAACTCAACGGAAAGGACGTAGATATGAAATCTAAATTTAGACGAAAAAAATATTGTAAAGTTCGCTAGGTCGGCATGTAGATGACGATATGAGTTAGGTACAAAGGTAAAACACGATAACAGTTTTATTGGATGTGTCTAATACGTAACATAGAAATATTATATTGACAGCAATCTGTATCAATTATTATTACTTCCATATCCTTAAAATATCTTACCTATACCGGTGTTTGTCATTCTTTTTAAAGTTACCGCTCGAGGAGCAAAATATTTTTCAACGCCCCCTATGTGAAAATCACCGAATTAAGGGTATTGGAAAAAGAGGAGGGGCTGCTTAATTACGAAATTGAAAAAACAATTGAAATATTACACTTAAGAAGTGTTCTTTGTTGATAAAAAAAAATGCAAATCGAATAGCCAAAATAGAACTTATTTTCGTTCCGCGAATGGAGCATAATATACGATAACACATCCACCGCTACCCCTCTACTACTGAAAACAAGTTCTCCAGCATGGGGGTCGTTATCGCTCCCGTTGGGAACCACTAGCCTATATCTATATTATTGACAATCGATAAATGGAGCCTTGGAATTTTTTTAAAAATTATGGGTAGGTACTAGAAAACCTAGTTGTTTTTCAACCATTATAGAAAAAAAAGTTCTATATCATTATTAGATTATTAGATATTATCTCAGCGTGGCATAAGCAGTACGTAAATTATTGGGTTAGCTACTATCGTGGAAGGATACTAATTATTACCACAAAGTAAGTGTAAATAGATACCTTCCAAATCAATCGTTCGTCAATTCTGTACCTATGGACTCCTGAACTGCATTCATTTTCCTTTTCACATTCCGTTTACATAGTTTAGAAAGGCTTCGGCTCAGTTTCATCACAATATTACGCTCTCCAGTGACGGCAGCAGTACAATTATTATACACAAATTATATAACAAACAGTAATGAATCGTACATAAGCAAAGTAAATTATGAAATAGTCATTAATTGCTTATAAAAAACTACGCGACGAGTTTACTAAACCAAAAGGGTCAAACGTACAAAAAAAAAATCAATACTTTACATTATTTCTCATTTTAGCTCACGCCCGAGTATAACCCACCTAAAATGCTTAATTCTTTGTTCCACCACTACAGGGCACTGGTGTTGAAATTTAATATTCAAGCAACGTCAATAAATGTTAGTGTTTAGTATGCATGTTTAACTTATAAACAGTTTTTGAGTTTAATATTTTAAGAGGCTGCTTTATATGTGGTTATTAAATCTTATCTTTTTAAATGGCATAATTTATATTATTTAAAATTAATCCTCTGCTGTATGTACATTTTAGGAAAAATGGATAGTAAATAATTTTATACGAGTAAATCTTTTATTTTTTTTTTACATGTATAAATGTATCATTAAGTAGAATGCTAGTGGTTACTGGTTAGTATTTATGACTTTGGTATATAATACATAATATTTATGTATACAAAATGCCAGTAAATAATATACAATTATTTGCCTACCATTGCTACACATCACTCATATTACTTTCTAAAAGTTGCATAATAAAATATGACCTCATTTAAGGAAGTTGTAAAAAATACACATAATTATTCTTTAAAAATGTATTTAAAGAAAAATATTTCAATTTTTACATCATAGGAAATACATAGTACATACACTACTTTATACACATAGAAATAATAGATGCATATTATATTCAATTATTTAACTAGATAATATTACATAATCTTATTTGTTTAGATACTTGCAAAAATCTGATAATATGTAACCAAAAATTTAAATTCTGATTTAAAAACAACCATACAATTTTAATGCATTATTGAATACCAGAAAAAAATAAGTCTTGTTAATACATATAAAAAAAATGAAAAGAAAGAAAATCACCAAGGGGATTTTTTCTTTAATTTTATTATTTTGATACAATTACTTATATATTTTTCAGTCTCAATATAACATGATAAATGGCAGTTAAAAGTTACATATTGTATTTAATAGTACAACAGGCACCAAAATTGTTATGACAATATTAGATAAAAACAAAATTGTAAGAATTTGCTTATTTTTTAATGCAGCAAAAATATTACTAATAACATTTGTAAGTCCCGCCAAGTAAGTTAAAATTTCTAATTATTGACATTAATCAATAAAAAAATTAAATTAAACCCGAAATTATTCTATATATATATTCTCACAACACACAAACATGTACTGAAATTAATAATAATAAAAAAAAATTAACAACAGTATTTATCACAAGCATGCTCAAGTGGTTTTTATTATATTAATGTTAATTATAATTTATAGTATTTGCTAATCAATAAAAGCTAATCGCTTATCCCGTACTTTTCCTCTAGTTTTTGTGCGTTCTTTGAAGTTAGCAGCATTAATTTGTTGCTAAAAAAAAAAAAAAAGAAAATAAACATTTCATGATCAGTTTTTAAGTTGTTTAACTTACCCTTTCAAGTTTTGACTGTTTATTACTTAAAAGTTTTGTTTGACATAACTTAGGACCAAGATTTAATATATCCCGAACAAGATCATTTTCTGTCATGTGCATATTCATTCCAGATCCCAATGCTTGACAAAGAACATCATACTGTTTTTTTTTTGTCCAAGTGTTCATTGTTAATATTTCTTGTCCAAAACGTATTTGAATATTGGGAGGTTCGTCGAGCTATAAATTAAAATAAAACTCTTAAAATATGAATTTGAATTTTAAATTAACACAATTTTTTTGTTTTACCTCGACATAATGAAGAATTTGTCTAAAATTCGATCTTTGGGTTTTTCGATCTTTTTTAGCTCTATATTTTTGTGAATCTGTTGCTAGTTCGCGTAATTTATTAATGAATTCTTCATCTGGTTCATATTCATCCATATCTTCACAATCACGTGTCATTTCTAATAAAACTGTAATTAGTTCGCCAGTGACCATTCTTACTTCTAAATGTGTTGAGTCTAAGAGAGTACTTAATTCAGTTAAGGTACTGCAACAAATTACAAGTAGATTTTTTAAATTAGTATTTTATATTGAAATTAGAAGGTATTTTTGATATCTTACGGAATAATAGTTGAGTTTCTTATTGATATAGTTGAAAATAGCAAAGACCAAGAAGATAAAGCTGATGAGTATAAAGCTGCTACTGATGAAGTTATAGTGGATGAATGTAATAAACGTCTCCATAAATTACGCATCAATTGCATAGCTGCATCAATTTCTTCATTGCAACTAATAAAAGTAAGCAATGCTATGGCCAAGCAACACTATACATATATAAAATAGACACCGGAATGTAAATATAATATCTTCATGAAAATTAATTGACGAAGGTTGATTTTAAAGAGATGAAACATTTAGGTTAGTATGAATATTATTAGTTACTTTTTCCCGGGCCAATAAAGGAACAGATTCGTCATTAACAACAAACATTAATGTAGATAATAATTCTTGATATGAATCTTCTGTAATATCAATTGCACCAAGTTGTATACATAATAAACTAGCTAAATTTGCTGCTGCAGCTTTTTCATTATCACCACCCTTTTTAAGTGCGCGTTCAATGGCATCGGCAATTGTCATACGCCTGTATTAATATATAAGTTAAGTCATGGATTTTTTTTTTTATAAAATCTAATAATTTTTTTTAATGTACCTATTTAAAATATAATCTGGTATATATTTTTTACAAAATATGTTACATATTGCTTCAAAACTCAATGTACGCCCTTGTGCAGACTTTTGTGACAAACCATCAATTGCATCACTAAGTTTTTCTTCAAATGCATCATTTTGAGACTCATCAGTATCTTCAGTAGCAACACCTACAATTAATTAAAATTATTGTAGTTTAATTATTTGTGTTTGTATAAATTAATATACATACATGATCGGTCTTCATTTGATGTACTACAAGATATATTACTGATAACACTTGCATTATCATTATATGAATCATCATCTGATAAATCTAAATCACGTGTTTTGCCAGCTAGTACATCTAAAAAAAATAAAAATTTAAAATTAGAATACATATATATATATATAAATGTATTTTTTTTTTGTAGGATTAACCACAATTAAAGTATGGAATTAGTATGATACAACAATAACAAATTAATATAATAATATTAATCAGTTTTAGGTTTACATACTGTGTAAAAAGCTTATGTGCTTATGAGAATATTATGATTGTCCAGTGTTGTTCACTTTGGCATAAGTTATGTTCTATTATTGGTTTACATTAAAACACAATGATAATCCATCAAAAAGAATTCTAAGATGAACACAGTGTACCTACACTTAAAATACCTATAGATATAGATCATAATATCATTTTTTGTTACCTACTAAGAGTTTTAATACAATCTTGCTTGAAAAAACCTGTGCTTAACATTTAGAAAAAAAAAAAAAAATGACCTTGTATAGTACCTATTGTCTGTGACAGATTCCTAAACTATAATGTAGTTAAAATGCATTCATATAAATCTTTTTTGAGTGTTCCTTAAAAAAAAAATATCAACAGATATAAAACAAAGCACCAATTCTTTATTTTGTTCAAAATTTAAACAAAATGTTATTCGAATTCACCTTATTTGACAGTTTTAAATGTATATGCATATATCTATTACTTACGTCACAATGTAGGTAATAATAAATAGTACATCATTATATTATGTACATTTATATCTGTATTTATACAAATATTTGATCAAAAGACATTTTTGTGTTTAAATTTCATAGGCACTCTGAAACATTGAAATTATGTCATTGGTCTAATTTGTAACCCAATAGAATTACTTTCACTATTCAAAACAACTACGTATTTAAATTATTTAACCATGAGTTGTTAGATTGGCAACAAATTTTAGTTAGGTAGGTATAATTAACTAAACAAGTCTAAATTATTTAATTTTAATTTAGGTGAATAATAATTTCCTTTTAAGTGCTTATATTATTATTAAGTTTTCCATAGAATTAATATCTATAAACATAATTTTATTGGGTGTTAATAAAATAATAAGTACCTACTTAGGTACCTGTTATTTTTACATGACCAAATACAAGGTTATTCATTTATTATGAAAAAGAGCTCATTTGTGAAGATTTAAATAACAGTTTTATATTACTTATAACCTACGTTATACTAGACACTTAAAACTGTCCCTAAATTACCAAAAGACACTAAAATGTATATTGATATCATACATATACTCAAAATATATCAGTTAGAAGTTTTGCATTTTTTCAGTCTACAAACTTTAATATTCATTGAAAGTAAATTAATTTGAATAATTTTATTATACCTATACAATTTTTCGAAAATAATTTTTTTGATGGTTTTAAATTTTTACAGAAATGTAGAGAGAATTTGTCAAAAATTGTAATATATGTACAGAACTTTGCATAAATTAACGCATTGGCATATTTTGATAATAATATTCTTTAATATTATGTATAAAAAAAATATAATTCTTTGTCTCAAATAATCACTGATTCATAGTTGACGAATCGCTCTGTATTGTATAAGTTACTCACCTACTATATACTGTAAAAACACACGTGTGTATAATGACTACATGTTTATTTATAGATAATGGTAGGTACGCACCAAAAAGAGAAATAAGTTAATAAAAATAATGTCACTTAAGTTTAAAATTGTATTTATTTCAAAATTAACCACGCACTTGACAATATTATATGCATTAGATCTTTATTAAACACCAATGATTATTAATCATAATTATAAGTATTGATATAAATAATAGGTAATTAAATTTATACAAGGTTGTAAATATAAACAAAAATTTTAAGTATTTATTTCTTAGTATTATCTAAATATTAGAAATAATTAGATTAAAATACCTATTAAAAATCTATTAAAATTATGACCAACCTTTCTACCTACCTACCTAATTAATATTAAATCAGAGGTCAATTCGAAAAATAATACGTGAAAGATTATTATTAATACCATTAACAGGCGAATAAATAATAACATTAATTTGCCATTAATTATTTATAGTATGGTCTCATTTATTGATTAATCCAATCATAGTAGATCAAACATAATGTATTTACCAACATAAGTATTTGTTATTATTTAAAATGTTTTGTAGACTAATGAAGTCATTCTGGTGGTTGAAATCTGACCTAAATAATTTATTAAATGAATAATTCTAAGTTTGTTTTATCAATTCAAATTTGTAAATAATCTTGATTTACTTATTATTTTCTAGTCCAAAATAATTTAATGAAATCTGAAACCTACCTCAATTCAAAATCAGTTAAACAAACAAAGTAAATTATTAATGATTTATGTGTAGCGAATAAAATCTGCAGCACACATTGTTTACTTATCATATTGTTGAAAAAAATGATATTTATTGGTTATATTTTAGTGGGATTTAGATTTAAACAATCAAGCCAATAGGAAATGGTTCATAAATTTTTTTCAAAGACAGTTGAACTAATTTTAAATTAGGTAGCCACAATGGTAGAAAGGATAGAATTTGGAGAAAGAAAGTGATGATTTAATTGTATTTTATTTCCAACATACATCAATGTGATTGGTTTCATAATGCAACACAAATTCTGAAAACTAATTTGATAGGCATTATCTATTTATTCTGTCTAAAAAATGATAATTAGCATTTTTGTTTTTGTTTTTTTAGAACCATAGAATATCGTGTTAGAACTATCATTGTAAGTAGGAAGTAAAAGGATAAATATTAAATTTTGAAATCATATTACATAGAAATACGACCCAAGATTAAATTGCTGTTTTTTTGATATTGTGTGACTAAGACTACAAATCAATCTCAAAAATGTAATATAAATAGGTAGGTACTGAATGTGATGACTGATAAGTTATGTCATTATTTAATGTTTATTTCTAGTTTAGGCACAGTAGGTACATTGGAATGGAATTTTGATTTTATTGACAAAAGATTATCTGTGTTTTGTCGGTGAGCAGCAAGCAAGGCTTGGGAATCTGAGGTGCATATAATAATAAAGGAAGGTTTGAGGTGTTTAACAATAAAACAATTCAATTGAAACGTATAAATATGTTTTCATAGATAACATAATCAGTTGAAGACTGACTCTTGAGGTAAAAAAAATTGTCAAAATATTGAAAAACGTTAAGTAGAAATATTTTCCACATTTTGCTTTTTAAATATTTTGTCCAAGGCATTTTTGAATTATTCAAGTGCTTTTTGTGGATATTAAGTGCATGTAAATCCGGTCTCTAGTTACAACACGAACATTTTTTAGATAATTGATACATGTTGATTAATCGGCTTATAAATAGGTGAAAACCTCTGGCCCAATAATAGTATTGTGTAAGTTTTTCCATATAGGTACTCATTAAAAACAACGGTTCTTTTTCTTTAGGGTAACGGCCTCTAACAATAAATTCCTCTATCTGTCTTAATCCTCCGGGTTCCACTACTCTTACATCTCTGGCTACACAGATTTTCCATCTCAAATCGGTTAAAAATACGAACTCGGAAATTTCACTCACAATGTAATTTAATAACCTTCAACACGACTGGAGGATATTGGTAACAAGATACAATTTACATCTTTGAAAGTTTCTAAGTCGTTAAACAACTCGAAATTTTTTGAAAATTGTTTTTAATGATATTTGAATCTATTTTCAGTTAAAAAAAAAAAAAAAGGCATGTCCAGCGAGCCATGTGTTCGACATCGTAAAGTACGAGTTGAACCGAGAGCCAGCGCATGCGCAGTCCATTAATTGTTATCGTTTATCGTGCGTGGGTGGACGGCTACGAAGAATCGTATGGGTACGTGGTAAACGCGGGACAGTGAGGCCACGTGACGCAATCGTTGGTTTCTCGCGGGTAAATAATGAAAAACAAAAAGAAAAGTGACATGACATTGAACAAATTCGGAACGATCGTACGAAAGTGATAACGGATTATTAGAGATTCAGAGCGTTGTGTGCTCCTAGGTTGGAGGGAGGGGGAGAGGGGTTGCACAACGTCGGTACGTAATGTCGTAATAGTGTAATAATTGTTATTATAATAACTATTATTTATTTTAATGTACACGCGGGCCCGGGAAAATGTAAAACGTGGCGACCCTCGGTTCAGGGTCGCCGTGCACGAGTCGTTTATATTCGGCGGAAAAAAAAACCATATGTACGTTTCTTTCAACGAAATAACATAATAATTACAATGCGTAGGTACCTATTTCTTACGTCGCAGAATCATAAGTAGTTATCAGAAAACGATGGAAAATACACCGGTATATGACGACACATGGCCAACGCAGTTTCCGACCCTATGGTGGGAGGGAGGGTGGTGGAAACCCGAGAACTTTCCAAGTTGACGTTTTCAAGATTGGAACAAAAACGAAAACAATTGAAAAGTAGGTATATCCGCTTACCAGTGGCTTTGTGAGGCCTGCGTTTTCCTCGGGGCATGTTATCGTCGTCGTATTCGCCCGTTCACGGCCGCTATCGAATAATAGGACTTTTTGGATGGCGGGCGGCGGCGATTATTATTGTCGTTGCGGTTATTATGCGATTCGACGGTGTCGTCGTTACGTTCAGTCACGTTTGTCTTCTGGTATCGGCTGCGGCGGTTGTCGATGGGAACCATGCGCATCGTGCAAGCTGTCGGTACGGTCAACGAACACTCAATACTGTCCCGCGCGGAGTGTGCACTTTTATTTTTATACCGCGGAACACTAAGAGTTGTAACACACGTCGAACACGCCGCCAATCATGGGTATGTACGGCGACCGCGCTTTGGTGCGTTACGTAAAACCGACAGGTAGCGCTGTAACGGTGCTAAGGCTAAGGCTACGGTGACTGGGCGGTGGGCGAACTGCGAAGTACTGCGAAGGACGCGGTAGTAAGGCGGCTGACGGCGTGGAGTGTGTTTTTTTTTCGTTTCTCGTTGCCAACCCAACGGGAATTCGTTGAGCGATAACTGCGGTATCTCGGCAGAATTTCGCGGTATTACTGGTATTCGTCGACCTCTGTATACCATGATAAGGGTCGCCAGATTTTAATCTAATCATATGTTATTCGAGTATCCGACTGATATTAGGTATTTTCCGAGTGTAAAGTATAACCTACTATTTTCCATTAATTTTCCGTGTCTGGCGCCCGGACAAGAGTCTGAAATGGCTTTGAACAACTTCCAGAGAACCATGTTACGCGTGCCTTTTATGCGCACATCCGTGCGGTGCATCGTCAGCAAGGCTTTTCAAGCTACGCTGGGACCAAAACCGGCTAAGCCAGCCCCATTCCCGTATAAAGAGAAAGACTATACGTTACTCAGTAGTATGTTTGACAAAACCACTAGCCGTTTCGATGAAAATACCAGGTTGATTGTTCTCGAAGGACCAGTCGGAATTGGTAGGTGTTCCTATGCACATTTAAAGGAGTTAGAGTGACTCAATAGTTTTCTTGCATGGTATACACATAAGTAGTAATAGTAATGATGGAAAAAATTGTAAAATAAAATTATGTGTAAAAATATTTTGCTTGGAGAAATGGAAACACTAGAGAATATAGACTATGGAATAAGTTTATTAGTTATTAAGGTGAGAGACAATAGATTGAAGTGGTTCAGACTTGTGATGAGAATAGACAAGTCAGAGTCTGTAAGAGTAGTTTTACAAATTAATGGGTGTAAGGAGAGGAAGAGAAAGATCATTAAGTGGATAGTTATACATGGTTGAGGGTTATAGTAGGACTGCTAGGGAATGTGTGTAAATGATGTAGGAGACCAAATCAAACATTAAGTTAAGACCAAGGTGGCCTACCTCAAAAATACGGATGGAGATAAAAAATGTTGCCACTTTGTGTGTCTCTTAAGTGTATTATTGTATTTTACAGGTAAGACTGCCATTGGAAAACAACTTGCTGAACTATTGGATATGCATTTTATGCCAGATGTTACAATGGATTTTTATTATTTAAACGACTATGGTTATGATATGCGTAAACTGGACCCTCAATTGCCAGTCAATTGTCGTAGTTTTGATGAGCGTAATTTTCTTCAAGACCCAGGACATTTTAATGCTGCTTTTTTTCAGATTATCAAATTCAAATTGCGATATGCTCAATACATAGATGCTATTGCACATTTGTTAAACACTGGTCAAGGTGTTATTTTAGAGCGTAGTCCATTCAGTGACTTTACGTTCTTAGAAGCAATGTATAAATGTAAGTATGTCAGTAAAACAGCACGTGACATATACTATGTGTTACACAAACATGCAATGCCAGAGTTGTTACATCCACACGTGGTAGTCTATTTGGATGCACCAGTACCCAGAATATTAGATCTTGTAAAGGAAAGAAAATTACCTCATGAGGTCAACTCTAAAGCAATGAATACTACATATTTGGAAACTATGGAACATGAATTTAAGTATAAATTTTTGAGAGATATCAGGTGAAAAGTTTATTATAATATAGTCATTTCAATCAAATTAATTTTATATTTAATACAATAAATGTTTGTTATTTGCAGTAAAAAGTCTGAAGTATTAGTTTATGATTGGTCAACAAATGGGGATGCTGAGGTTATTGTAGAAGATTTAGAACGTTTAGATTTGGATAACTATGATGATGATGACCCTAAGAAATTAGACTGGTTTTATACTAGAGAACAATACTGGGCTGATGTTCGAATGAAGTGAGTGATTTATATAGGTATTTTAAAAATTATTATTCCAATTGCCATGAATTTATGATAATACAGTGTATCCCACCGTGTTCAATGGATTTTTCTAGCTATTAAATTTTTTTCAATTGATTTAGTTTTGAGGGGGGTTTCGATTTGGAGAAAAATGACATTTTTATTTCCATAAACACAAAAAAAAAATGACATGATACTATACTACATTCTATTCCCTGTCGATTAGCATTTATCTAGAAAAAGATTGAGTAAAAAATGAACTGAATTAGAATAATATAAATAATAAATAAAAGATCATAATTTATCTAGATAATGCCAGATAAATTAATTAAAAACAACAGTTAAATTTTAAAATGTTATGTTAAACATCTTATAAAATATTATAATATAATAAGGTCAATATAATAAAGTTAAATAAGCTTATATAAGACAATTTTTTTAGATCTGAGCAAAATCTAGTAACTAATATAACTACATATAAAAATATAGTAAAATAAATACATTTTTTTTTATACATGTTTGAAATACTGTGAATAAAATTCATGTTAACTGGGGTTGTTTAAGCGCAATAATCCTTTACACAATAAGTGAAATTCCCATAAATTTGGCCTTAGATTGGTATAAAGTTTAGTTATTACTTATAAATAATATAATCTTTTAACTTAATTTTAAATTTTACACTATTAATGCAAAGTATTGAACACAGTATACATCTACCCATATAAATAATTTATTTAAATAAGTGACATTTTTATCCAAGATGAATATTTATTTAATTTGAAATGATTTATTTACATAAAAAGATAATTAACATTTATCTATGTAAGTCTCAATACTAATATCTAATAATTTATTATTATTTTTTTTGTAAAGATTCACCAATGAAAAAGATGATTTAATGGGTAATTTTAATTGTCCTATTGTTGATGCTCCAGAACTTAATATACCCGGTGAAGAAGTTGAAGTTCTTACAGAAGCTTGGTTCACAGTAAGAATAACATTTATTGTTTATCTATCATATTTTTAACTTACTAATAAATTATAATGTTTTATTTTAAACTAGGTCCCACTTTTAATTCTGAGTGTATCAAGAAATGTATTGATTTTACTTTAATGTGTGCTTTTTTTTGTCTGTGAACAACTTTTTGAATTAAATTTTACTACTATCATTAGCTACAGGTGTGGTTTTTGGTAACAAATTTGTTTGGTGTCATTCTTGATTTTTCTTTTACTTATCTACTCTTTTTATTAATAAGAGGAAAAATGGAAATATTTACACAATAACATTGTTTGATAATTGTGTTTTAGTTGTTGTAATTTGATAAAAAATAATGGTAGAGATATCTGAAATTTCCACTGTATACTTATATTAGCACTTTCTAGACGTGGTATAATTTCAAAAAATCTTGTTTATTGAATTATTTGAAATTGTTCAGCTTTTTAATTTTATCAATTTGATATGAACAGTTTTGTATTAATGTAAGAAAATTTGATATAAGGTTAATTATGATTTGTACTTAATGGTAAAAAAAAATTATGTGTAATCTCTTTAAATATTTTATGTACGTTTGAAGTTCAAATTTTGATGAAACAAAAAAAAAAAAATCAAACAATTATAATTAAATACATTTTGTTTTTGGTACCTAGTTATAAAATTTGATTATTAAGACTAATTCGTAATTTACAGGCTGACGGTAATACATACGAATATGGTTATGATCCAAAACGTCACGGTTTAATGGAATTGTTATTCAAATCTAAAGGCAGAAAACAGAAGTGGGATCCATTGGCGTAAAGTGAAGACAATTTATTTTGTATAATTTGTAAATTAGGTTAGCTAAGTTAATTGCGACGAATCTGGTTTAAAATCATTGCTTTTAATTATTAAATATCATTATAATATTCTTGTTTTATTTATTTATATTTTTTTTTAATGATATGTCTATTGTCATTACTAGATTTTATGATAACACAGAATTCTATGGTGATAACAATAAAAATACGTGATAACGTTAATATTTGTGTGATAATGTTATTGATGAAACCTGAATAGAGGAAAAACATAATATGACATGTGTATTTAATGGAATATGTTACAATCATGGTTATAGATAACGGTAGAAACAATTATTAGTTAATACTATAATCTGTTAAGTTTTATTATAGTTGTTTGTATTAATAATTAAATTCTTTGAATTGATTCTTCCTGTGGCATGAATTAAGATAAATTTTATCTTGGTTCGTGCCTAATATTTATTGCAATGTTCTATGGTATTTGGTTACATATTACATAACATCCGTTTATATACCTTTTTACTATTTTAAAATCAGTCCCTTCGCAACACACTCAACAGTTGTTTTACGATATTTTGTACTCTTTATTTGTTTTTCATCAAAATATAATGTATTTTAAACGATTATTAATTTACAGCATCTTTTTAATTATTTATATAACAACAGTAGTCTGTTTAAAAAAAGATGAATATTATTGCGAGAAGTCTTCTCCTTGTGTGTGTATAAGTATCCAAGATAATAATATTGATTTGACCGGTGTTAGTTTAACTTTAGGCTTAGCAACTAATGTATCATTAAATTATCAACCGTGTCCTGTAGATGGAACTAGTTCTAACGCTGTAAGTATCAAGTTGTGCATTAAATAAAATTGAAATTATTCAAGGACAAAATGTATTTTGTTAAATACTTATATGATTAGAGAACAGATCTAGTTATTTGTTCGTACAAATTTGTCATTTTTTTTTTTTTGAACATGTGTATATTGCCAGGTTATGTGTGTAACTCAGGGTTTTTGTAGTTGCTTAATTTCTAACAAAAAAAACTAAGCAAATAATTTTTTAAATTCAAGATATAGGTTTAATTTTTCAATTAAATAAACATTAAACTAGTTAATTATGTATGCAAATATAAATAAATACACTGTTTTACAATAATTTTAGTACAAATTTAATATCAATGGTGGATACAAGTTATTGAGGGAGGGAATAATGAGTTACTAAGGAGATATTTAGGAAATGTTCAGTTTATCAATTGTTACATAATTTACCTTATAGATACTGAAATGATAAACTTTGCTATGGCTTTTGGATACCTACCTTGAATAATCGGAGAATTTGTAAAGGTTTTATTCCAGAATTTTAATTTCAAACTTCAATTTTTTTTCCCCAAATATTAAATATTCAAAATTAAAAAAAAAATTTCATTGATATTATTTTTATCTTTACAAAAAAATAATTTTTTGATGCTAATTTATTAAGTATTAAGTATTATTTGATAATTTACAAACATTTGAATACATATTATTGTTTTACCTTGGTGAACCATCCAAGAAAAAACCATTAGCAATTTAAAATTAGATTTTATGTCAATTATTATGGATTTATACAGTTAAAATTATACATATTGAAATTATGATTTTTAGATTCAAATAGTTAATGCTACATCTAATACCATAATACCTCTTGCATACTATAAGGATTCCAAATTTTTAATCAATGATGCAGTAACGTTGGTGTATACAAATGCTACAGAGTAAGTTTATAATATTATTATGTTTAAAACTTTTATGGTACAAACCTTGAAGTTTTTAACCCTAACGTATTATATGCTAGTGTATTCGATGTAATTCTATCATGTAACCAGTCAGCAACTAAAGGAAATGAATATCTTACTAATTTTCAAAATGATACTATTAACCATTTGGTAAGTAAAATCATATAGACATTTTATATATTTTTAATAAAGATCGGATTTAATTGCATTTAAAGCACACAAAATTGCATTTTAAAATTATTTAAGTGCAAAAGTTATGTAAAAAAAAATTAGGTCAACGTTAATTTTTTTAATTAAAATCGATAATTAAATATATTTCTAAATTATTTTCATTAAAATTAAATCTTCTATTACTTAAAATATGTTTGTACAAGGAAAAACTATGTTCTACGTCTACACTAGTTATTGGTGCATAGTTAAAACAATTTAATAAGGTAGACCGTATATCTAAATTAACATTTACTTTACCTGAGATTACTTCATAGTAAGACTTTAAAATTGCATACCCTTCATTTTTTTCAATTACATACATACATACATTTTTCTTTAATTTTTTCACATTTGTATCAGGAATATTTGTTAAAATATCTTCAATTTTTCTAAACATATCAATGCTTTTCAGTAGTTCACTATTAGGTTCTTCCAAATTTTTAAATTCATGGATAACATTGATAAGTGTAATTTTATGAATACTAAACCACATTTGACTGCATTATGTTGTACACGCTGTTTCAGCTTTTCGACACTTCTAGCATCATCTGTTAAACTTTCAATCACGTTTTTAAACTCTTCAAAATTATTTGTATAGAAAAGTGCAGCATTTAACTATTTTCCCCATCTCGTAATAATAGGTTCGCGTGGTAAAGGTATACACGGGGTTTATTTTGTGCACCATACATGTAATATGAATTAATTTTAGGAAAAATATTTTTAATGGTTTTGTTGCTTTTATCATATAAGTATCAGCATCACTAATAAAAAGTAATACATTTTGTTCAATACCAGGAAATATTTTTAACGAGGAATTAATAAACTGACAAATAGTTTCATAATTGGTGGATTCTAGTTCTTTACATGCAACTAAATATGATTTATTAGGCATCCCATCTAATTTACCAATTAATAAATTTGCAAAAGCCAGACCTAAACGAAAATAGTATATTTTATTATATGAAAAATTAAAAATTAATTTATACAAATCTCTTGGATTGGTTGTTTCATCAACAATTATGTAAATGTAATTATTTCCAATATCACTAATTATTTGGTCCATAAAGCTTTTATAAATATTTGGTATGTAATTTTTTTCTAAAGTGCTTTTGTTCAGAATTGATTTGCCAGTATGTTTTTCTAAAATTGATGTTAACACATGATTGCCCAGCTTATGTAAAGGAATATTTGCAGCAACAAATGCATTACATAAATCTTCAAAAAATACATTTTTACCGTTCAAATTTTAAGAAGTAATCAAAAGTTGTTTTTTATTTATTCCTTTGTAATGCATTTGTGTTTGTGTTCACTGTGCTGTCATACTGATCAAAAAATTAGGTACTAAGGTACCAACAGCCAAACACACATAAATCGTTGTACTACTACGTTAAATTTAATTACCACCATATATATATAGACGCTTATTGCTTGCTGGGCTCTCCAAGGTGCTAAAAAATTCCAGATGAACGTAAACTTCTATGATTTAAAAATCTGGGAAAATTGCAAAAATTTTAAAAACGTTAAAAATTGAAAACAATTGCATTATAAAATTAAATAGGCAGAATATTTTAGTTTATTATCTGCTATATATAATCAGATCTTATTTATCTTTATTGCAAAAAAAGTTGCAATATCAATTAGATCCGGTCTTTAATTAATAAACTTGTATAAGTATATTAAATCACAGTATTTGATTTTATATGTTATAGACCATTACTCTAAAAACTAGTCAAGTATGTGGATTGAACCTGAAGGATGCAATTGAAAATAGTAGTTCAGAATCTTGGACATTATTTTTCTCATTTATTTTGGTTGTTGGGTTTGTATATTTTGTTTGTGGTTCCGTAATGAATGCTTGTTTATTTAATAAAATTGGTATTAATATGATTCCACACCATGCATTTTGGACTTCACTTTATAATAATGTAAAGGTAAATCTTTTACACTTTGATTAAATTTCATATATTTAATAGAAATTTTATTTTAAAGAAAATTAATTTTTCTAGGAAAAACTATGCGGTACGTCCATGATGGCATCTGCTTACGAAAGTATTTAGATCATTTTTAACAAAGAAATACAAATTTCTTGTTTTTTCTAGGTATAAATAATAATTATTACACATATAATATTATAATTAAATTATGTTTTATTATTCATATTTTTTAAGGAAACTAATGAATTTGTTATGATAAGAAACCATATTTATTAATTTATTTATTTATCTATCTGTATACAAGCTTAGCAGCTTAGTCCAATTAAATACTGTTTATTGATGATAGTCGTTCAACAAGCAAATTTGAATAATGTATATTTTACATATTATATTCAATGTGCGTAATACAAACTAAAAAGTATACAAATATATATAAATATTTGTATTAATTAATAATATAATAATCAAAATATTTAAAGTTTTAAATTACTTACCATGTTTTATAAATGAGTGTATTTTTGGTGTGATGACCGAATTAAATTTGTTCATATTTTTTATATTCGGTTATAGTATTTGTTGAATAATTTGTTACTTAATAAATACAAATAAAATAAGTTTATAGTTTTTATAAGGGTAGTCAGCTTATATAGATGGATAATATATTTAATAAATCTGGACAATTAATATAATTACAAAACCAATTAACATCTTGTCTATGCATGAGTGACAGTTTTAATGAATTATTTTGTTATTTTTAAATATATTGTTTTTATTATTCATTGAAACTAAGATTAAAATAAGTATTCTTATAAGTACTAAATCTCAATTTATTATTGAGTACAATTTGATTTTAATTGTGGTTTTCTTTTTTTAAGTTTATACGATTTCAAACAATTATAACAGCAATTAATTTCAAATAAAATGATGCGATATTATTGTGTGGGCAGGTACTAATATACAAATAAGAATTCCATAATATATTTTGAATAAATATTTAGATGTCCTTTCTAAACTACCATATAAACTCATAAATTGTTAATTTAGTGGTAAGTGACAAATTGTACTTATAGTAAGAGTTATAATATGTAAACAAAATTTGCTAGTCTATTATTGTTGTTAGGTATAATAATTGTTTTGTATTTTAATACCTACAAATTAATATCATGCCAATTACACTTCAGTTTAAACAATTTGAATGTTAAAACTTTTTTTAAATTATGTAACTATAATTTATATTTACTGCCATTTGTTTTTTTACTAAACATTTTTGGTAATTTGTTGTTTACCAGTTATTTCTTAAGTACTTAATCTGTGATTAATATTAGGAAAAGTTTTTTTTTGATTCATAATTTATATCTATTTTCTTCTTTGAATACTGTGGTATAAGAACTTGAAAATGGCAATTTGTAAGTTTTATAAATATATATATAATTTTTTTTTCATAGATAAATTAATTTAGAAGTATAATTGTTATGTCAAAGCATATTATAAAGCAATAAAAATACATTTTTTTTTTCTTCTAAATAGACATAAATTGTATTATGGTCTGCTGAAACATAAAACTAGTACAGTGAAACAGTGAAATCTGTCCTAATAGATACCTCTCTTAACAGATAAAATAATAAAGTCCCGGCAAAAAGATAGGTATTACAATTTATTTCGATCTGTCTATAACGGACTCTTTCTATTACGGACACGGGCAGTAATATTTTTCCCCATTACCTAAATATGTCGATAACTGACAATTATTTTAGTTCAAAATCAAATATATTGCAAACGTGTATATACGCAATAGCGTCGCCAGTCTATTTCGAATAAGTAACGGGGATGACAGATTACGTGTTCGATTTGGGATAAAGTTAAGTAAAATAACCAAAAACACGTTTAAAACGTAAAGACACGTTCGCTTATTTAATGTTGATTCCGTGTCGCTTCGCTATTAAAATCTTTTTCATTTTTTTCTGTTCGTTTTAATCTTTTCTTTACAATGTCCAACTCTCGTTCCTGTCCATTACGAATACCTGTCTATAACGGACATTTTTTATGGTCCCGTAACGTAAACTGATATATTATACAGATTTCACTTTAATAATATTGGCCAAAATGATTTTATAAAATTCCCATAGGACTCTATCACGAATTAACCCTACCACGGATATACCTAATTAAGATATTAAGATATATTTTAACTCGTGCTTTCTATCAATGATAATAATCATAATACAAATATAATGTTCATAATAATATATTCATCTAATCTCGTATGCCTAATCATTTCTTTATATTTCCGTATATAAATATCAATCGATTAGATAGTAAACAGATAGAACAGTATACCTACTTGTAAGTCTAGTGCTGGTTTTGTTACAAATTATTAATGTTAGTTTGATTGTGATATTTGTTTAGTAAAAGTCTAACCTTTAATTATTGTCGTTGTACGGTTTAAAATTGATTGAGTTTTTCGTTATTTTAAATTTAAAAAATGTCAACAAAACAGAAGTGGTTATGAAGTATTTTTAATCGTAGATATTTGAAAAGACACAAATACATGATTTAAAGTTTCCTTCAAACGGTCAAATGCTTTTGGTATTTTTTTATAATATGCGAACTATTAAACTTGTTAGAGAAAGTGCGGCATTGGCTTGCCCGAATGTTGTATCTATTGGGAAAAAGCAAGAATTCTTATTCAAGCGGTTCAATATTGTATTGATAAATTAATTAACTAATAGGTATTATGGTATTATGTACAAAATAAATTCGTAAAAAAGTAGATAGATGAGTCATATAGATTAACAGAAAACGATTTTAAAATATACATTATACATGATACATTAAATTTATTATTTGATATTGCTCATTCCGATGCGTTTTTAATGATAAAAATGTATTTTATAAGATATACATATAACTCTCAATAGATTTATATATAATATAAACATAATTAACAAATAATATTGTTTATTATTAATCATTCGCTACTATTTACCCAGAATATTGTGTGTTTTTTACAGTTAAATATACAATATACTTCATGAACGGTCTGAGATGAAAAAATATGTTTCCATACAAGTTATTGAAAATTTATTTTACTTTAAAATATATAATATAAAAAAAGCCGGGTAACTATTATAGATGACAACTGAAGGTAATAGAGGGGAAATGTAATGTATATATTTTGTAAGCAACGATAAATCATTGCTAATGAAAAAACCATTCTGAGCGGAGTTCAGTTGGTAGTGTTGCTTTGTCAACAATATATAATGTGTCAATTATTGTAAAATAATTAGGTAAAATACAGGTATAATGGCACCTATATTTTATTTAATAATATTTGTTTAATATTGTACTTATTTCCCGTTTTTCCCATTTATTAGGAAAACCCATGAGAAAATCAAAAAATGACATCCTTTAAAGGAAGACAGATTTCGTTTTAGAAAAAATGCTATCATTGTAAATCTGAGCGAAATTGCTGGTAGAAAAGTTGTTCTCAAGAAAAATAAAGGCTGTAATATTTTTTTCAACTAATATGTAGGTAGGTATGTATATGTTTCATATATTTTACAGTTTTTTTTCTACTTTTTTTAATTTATAGGGAAAATCGAAAAATAACCTTATTATTTATGGTTATTAATACAGATATTCTACTTTTAAGTTTAGGTCGGGGGTAGTAGTATCATTTGTGTGTTAGCACGGCGTGTTGCATTTTAATAATGAAATTTATTTTAACTAATACCCTATCTATTAATGGCATTTTCAGTATAGGTTTTTATTTGAAAATCAAAAGTAGTTAATCATTTCTCCCCCGAAAAATAAGGGTGACAAAAAATTATAATGTACAATTTTAGAACTATTTGTTTTTTAAGTTTTCAAAAAAAATTAAAAATAACATCAATTGATGACAAACTACGCGATTTTGCGATAATAATTCTTTGAAAATATCAAATAGATTATGAAATATTTGATAAAAATAGTGTACGAGCGAATGTATTGCGTGATCACCTTATTGATGATATTATATGGGAAATTGGAGTACTCATATGATCAATTTAACATTGCATAAAATGTTCAGTTGTTGTGACATAGGTAATGCCTGGGCTCCTACTTTGCCTGTAAAATGTACATTATCTGCAAAAATAATTGATAGGTACATTAGTTTTCAGTTCACTAAACTAATAAGGTAATAAATAAAAATCGTTTAGAAATTTTAACTTTTTACAGGGAAATTTCATCCTATGTGAATAATGCTTCATTACTATTTCCACCAAACCAAATTTAAAAGTGGAATATCTCGTCAACGGACTGACGGAGATTTAACATTTCAACATAAAAATATATTTTAACTAAAACGTTTTCTATCTATCTTTGGAATTTTGAATTTAGGTTGCTATTTAAAAAATAAAAGTGGGTAGTGGTTTTTCCAAAACGTAAAAATGTTAATACTTTTCGAGATACCCTATTATGTACAAAATACAACCAATTTACGTAAGAACTTATGCTGTTATTATCACGAATGTTATGGGTTCTGTATGCGAATTTATTTATCATTTGAAAGTGGTTGAAATTACCGTCCACCGCTTATGTTGAGTTTCAAATCATTTTGATTTTCACAGTTCTGCAAACCTTTATCAGCATTGTTAAAACTACTGCCAATACTGGTTAATACTGGCTAATTTACTGCTAAACGATGAGTGTTGAGTGTAAATCGCTTACCGTTTTGAAATATATCTACTGCAGTTTGCCATCCACAATATTAGTTAAAAGTAATTAATAATAAATCAAAGCCAAATGTGTAATAGTAAAGGTTATGATAATAATAATAAATAATTATATACAATAATACACAACAATTGTTTTTTTTGTTCAAATACAATAGCGACATAGACACCCGGATGGGGGGGGGGGCAAGGTAGGGCATTTGCCCCTCTCCCTGGCTTTCCAAAATTTGTAAGATATATGTGATTAAACAAAAAAAAGGTTGCAGTATCGTAAATACATTAGATAAGATTGTCGGTTGGTTGTAATGTTTATTTGTAGAACGTGTCAAGTTTCCTATATACTGTATTCCATTATATAATCGCACAGAAATTCAAAAATCAAAAGATGTTTTAGATATACCGACAGAAATAGAAATATTTTACTCATCAGTATTTTCAGCAGTTTGTAACCTATCCCGGCAACTGCTTGTACTGCTGAACTTAACTTAATTTACTTCAGCACGATGCGAAGGATTAAAACTTGGATACGCTCTACGACGATCATTGACCGTATATGTATCTAATAATAATTTGTATGGTGAAATTGTTGATCGTTTCGGAAGAGAAATAAGACGATTACAATTATGATTGCGTACGTTTGTACGACTGCGTACGATTTATGTACCTGACCCTTAAAAATATTACGATTACGTACAAAACTGAGTGCAACATTGTCAACATGCACAACTCAGTTTATTTATTATATGTATAAAATTGTTATGTGAACGAAATAAGTATATCTAGTGGCTAGTGAATATAGTAAATTAGTTGTTAAGTAAAAATTATGTGTGAATTAATAAAAAATTATTTTAAGTTATATTTTATCAGGTACTATTGAAATAAAACCAATCGTAGTTAATTAAGAACTAATATAAATTAATAAATTATAATGTAAAACCTTGGTATCGATAACCAATCTCCGCAGAAAAAAAATTTAATATATTATCATCGATTTTTTTTTGGATAACTTCAGTAACTGCTATTCCAAATAGCAGTCATAGAAATAATGTCACAATTACGTTTATCAAACTATAGGTACCTTAAAGGTTAGGTAATCAAAGGTTTTTTCTAAAATAAGTTCATTTACAAGTTTTTCACAAATTCCATGCCGGTGAAACGGCAACGTTGCATTAAATTCGGGTAGGTAGAACGTACGCAATCGTAATAGTGAAAAAGGTCCTTGTGCAATCGAATCATAGTCCTTAAATTGTGAGATTCTAATATTGCCAAGTGTGGGGGGGGGTGTCACACACTTCCATAACCCACCTTCGGTTCGTTCCTGTAGGTAGGTACTAGTCGTATTGTACTATCGCATCTATAGATTTTTTGATAAATATTTCTCCGATAGGTTTAAATCACATATATTATTAGAACGTTCGCGTATGGCGTATGGAAACCATATATGGGTACCTAGATTATTTTTATTGGGGTAGGTAATAATAAAAATACATTTACGTAAAATAGGTACCATTCAAAACAATCAAAACGTTTGCGTGTTATTTGATTAAATTGATAATCGTTTTATATTTGCAGATTACTGACAAAATGTAGGTACACGTATAATTATAAAATATTACATTAAGTACTTATAATATTTTTATAATATTACAATCATGGTCATATACATTACAGATTTACAGTTTCACGTGGGCGCGTAGCGTACCTTATGTATATCCACATGTATGCATATTAGACGTTTTGTATAATAATGTGACAGTATCAGGGTTGTGAGTGCCCTAGGGTCCGAACGCATTATATTCTTGACTTTTAATTTGAGATGATTTTTTTTTTTTGGAAACAAAAATTCGAAATTTACGACTTAACTATTACCGGTTGATACTGCTAAACAGTGAATGGATACTTATTCTGTTGGCGCCTCTAATTTTATTTGAACGTTGTGGGTGCTCAGGTACCACGGACTCCCTCTTAAATCCGGCATTTTAATATTATATTGCATGGTTTTCCAAATTATATGCGACTGTCGCAATGGATTTCATAAGAAATATAGGTGTTATATAATACGAGTATATATTTATAGACCTATTACCTACCTATATATTTTGTGGAAATTTGTGGGATAACTTGTTAAACTCAAGTAGGAATTAGATTAGGGACATATATTTGATATATTTCATTCCCAGCGAACGGTGGTTTGTATAGGAATTATTTTCACTCCGGTTGGTCCAATTTGTCACTGGCTAGGCTTAGCCATAATTAGAAATTTGTTAAAGGACCAGTTTGGGCTATAATTATGTCACATACAATATAAATGGATACAGATTTTCTTGATGATTCCTCTTGAACTTTTCCAGTCGACCTATGTCTTAAAGTGTCGAAAACTCGAACCATTTTTTTCAAAAGTTTCAAAAGTTGTATTTGTACCATGTATATGGGGTAGGAAAACAATATTCTCAGTAGATCACGGATGGACGATGGTTGAAAATTCATCTTTACAACACTTGTTTAAAACAAAAATAGTTTTTGCAATAGGTACCACCAACAAATAGTTTTTGTTTACTAATAGGTAGGTAGGTACGTTTCTTAAGTTTCTAGAATTTTGGTATGCATCAACCGGTCTAATTGAACTATGTTATTTCACCATGAGCAAAGTGATCCCCCTCTCTTATATTCACCTCTGCTAGTGAATGCAATACACTGTCACATATTATAATTTGGAAAACTCTACACCTATATAATAATAATAATATGTACTATCCATGGGTACTATCGCATTAATTCACATACCTACATGTCATTATCGGCTACGAGACGATAGGACGACAGTCGTTGGATACATTAACGAGTACCTATTTTTGTCCGAGAACGGATTAACAGGTTTTTTTTGTTCCAGACTTCCAGTGATACATGTCGACTTACACCGAAATGTAAAAACAAAAAAACCCACGAAAATTCACCCTTTCACATTCCATACAACTGTATAATAGTATACTCGACTTAGGCCTAACTACTTAACCTAGTCTTTAATGAACATTACATGTATATATTTTATAATAGTTTGATAATGCGTGTATAATGTGTATTTATGGTATTTATGTTTGTATAATATTATGTTATGTACTGTTATAGCGGTTCGGAAATTCGGCGCAGCATGTTTAGGCACTTTCACCTGTTCCGTATTCAAAATTCACATAACGTTTGAGCACTTAATATCCCTAAAAACAGCATGTTTAGGCATTCAAATAAAAAAAGTATCTATATAAAATATATACATACATTTATCTGCTATATATTATACAAATATAAACATATAAATAAAATAACTCGGGTCAAATCAGATTTGTATAATAGTCCAAAATAATATGCCTAGTTATATAATAAGTGCCTATAAATGTACTCGTGTTAAATAAAATAATTGGTATATGTATAATTATATTGCATTTCCTTGATTTCGAATGCCTACAATTTTTAAATATTGAATACATGTTATATCTTCTTTTTCATAAGCATTCCAGTTATCAGTTATATATTTAGTTTTAAGTACAGATTCTTTTCGAATGTAATTGAATTGATTTTTGTTTACACTATTTTGGGTGTGGATAGTAAAATGGTGCATTAAAAATTATTTTCAAAAACTTATACAATACACCTATGTACATATATTTATTAACTATATACTACATATTGTTCCTATAAACTATAGTGCCCAAACGTGTTGTGATTTTGTACCCAAACGTGCCGAAATTTGGATTAAAATACCCAAACGTGTTGTAGCCCCGGAATTAGCTCGGGTGTCAAACAATTTTAACGACAGGTACATTTTTTTACTGCGAGTTTTAATTGGTATAATATCGGTTAAAATTGGTGTATGCCTGCAGGAGTGGCCCCAGAAATTCCCGATGGAGGAAATGGAGTATTTTAAATGAGTGAATCGCAAGAAAAATGATGTGGGCACGATTAGCAACGATTAATCGAAATTAATTCAACACACCATTAGTTAGATAAGTTATCAAATTTATTTTTCTGTTCGCATAATATGTTCGTCATCTTTGGGATAGAGTGATAATAGTGATATAAACTAATGCATAAATCAGTTTTGACTTCTAAACGCGCAGCATTGTTTCTGGAACCTTGTTCGGGACATGATAACATTTCTAATTAAGGTTTTATATTATATTTAGTGTCCTTCAATTAAGTAATCAAACCTTAAGTAGGCAGGTACTCCGAAACATAATTAGTCGTTGAAATTACGTTTCATTTATCCATCGACCGTCGTCGTATCATTGGGTCCTTACTTATTAAACAGTACATGTACTTACAAGAGTTTTAAAAATTTATTGATGAAAAATGAAGAAATCTCATTGATTTCGGCTGTATTTTTTTTTTTTTAATTTTCATTCTGGTTCACCTTTTGTGTATAGATACGTATAATTCTGTGTATGCCTATACACATTTAGTTTACCAATACGATTTTCCCTTGGGACGTGATAATAATTATAACATTTTTATAGCGCGTCTTGTATTCGAAGTAAATAATATGTAATATCGTTGCACAAAAAACACGCGGAGGGATTACCGGGCGTTAAACGCCGTTTTCGGCTGATCGGTTTTTTTTCTGCGTAGGACATCACGACATTATGATTAGAACTGGTGGGTTAGGTTAGGTTACTGTAACCTAATCTAACCTAACCAAACTGGTGGATGTGCGTTGGACAGGGGCGCCTGTGACGCCTTCTAGAGCGTCTCCTCGTTCCAGTTGTTCCGGCAGCTCCTGCCGAACGCCGCGTGTCGCGTGCCGTTGTGTGACTTGAGCTGTCGTACCGACACGTACGAAGTGGTCGTGTTGATCCTATGCAGACCTTCCGCCTGACTAGGGTCGTTGTGGCTGTATCGGTGGAACTGGAGCTGTTGGGCACGCAAGTACCCGTCCATGCACCGGCCGCAACCTGGCACGTTGCGCAGTACGGCCGCGAAACCGGTCCGGTACCGGGTGTTCATCCAGCAGTAAATCACCGGGTTGTAGCACGTGTGTGACATGGCCAACCAGTGGAACACGAACCACATGTACGGTAGGTGTTTCCACGTGCTTAGCGATGGCTCGCGGTCCAACATCATCTAAACAGGCAACAGACACAATCATTTATCATCTATATTCCGGCCCACGAGAGAAGTAAACCGTGTTGCGACTAAAACGCGTCGAATTACGCGCATTTATACATGTTGCAGCACGTAACTGATTGGAACAAAGTGGGGAGAAACAGTCACTGATGTTAGTCTACATGCGCGAAACGATTTACTTTTCTTGCCGGAGTTTATACACATTGCAATAATTGTATCGACCTTATACTAATAATAGACAAGAATTGATTACACTGCGGACGTAGCAAGTTAGAGGGCATTTTTCGGTTATTGCGTTATAACTGAATTCAGTGTTGGTAGCGTTTTTTTTTTTTTAAAGGAATTCGTTACCATTTCTCGTTTCTACTACAAAAAAAGAATTTGTTCTTTTTTGTCGTTCCTTAAAAAACTCGTTTTTGTTTTTTTTTTCTTATGAATACAAAATGCAGTCCAAACTTTTTTTTTACAATCTTAATTTGAAAATATGACTAATTAATTTGCTCTGGAAGTATATACATATATTTGACATTAAAGGTTTTCATCATACTTATGTAGATACCTTATTTTCATAAAAAAATAAGTGTAGTGTGAGTTAATCAAGTTAACTAAAATTTAGAACTACACTTAGATACTTCTTGGAATTGACTTGTTTAAAATACTAATATATTAAATTAAATTAATTTCCTATTTTAAAAATAAAAATGAAAAATCATTTGAAAAATCCCAGGATCCCTATTATTTTAAACAATTATCACCGAGACATCGTTTATATCCAACATTATATAATTTCTAGACAATATTATCACTAAAATAACTTATTTTTCATTTTTTTTTTCACAATAAGAGAAACGGAAAATTGCCTTTACGTTCCTCTTAAATAGGAACTCTTTCCCGTTCCTCCTTCCTTCTTAACACTGTAATCGATTTAACCTTAAATTAGTATTAACTTTTTATTTTCATATGGTAGGTAACCTTCCATTTGCAACAAAGATTCGAAGATTTAGAATACTTTTCTAAAATTGTTGTTACAAATATAACACTAATATTTGATTTACCGTTTTCCGAGTTATAATATTTTAGGATTTAGACCGAAGGAGTAGTGAATCGTAATAAATAGATCATAATAACTAAGGATGTTCCGGGTAGAAAATTCTTTTATAAACCGGGTACCTACCGAGTAATGACCGAATAGTAATGTAAATACAAAACTGGATACATATTATCATTAAAACAAATTTTTAAAATAAAAATATAAACTTAATAGATCATCAATAGTCATTAGTTATTACACTCATAAGCCAAAATAAATAATTATTGTGAATAATAATGTATATTAAACTATGAATGAAACTAAGCATATAAATAAAGCATTGCGAGGAATATATTTACTATCGTGATAAAAGAATCACTGAGTACAGGTAAGAGGTTTTCTAGAAGTGACAGGTGTAGGTGGTTTAGCAGGAGAAATGAGAGAGAATCGGTTAATTGAAATGATATAAATGAACGTGTTGAGAGAAGGAGCAGCGATGAGATTATAGTCAAGAAGATATAGGTGAGATAAATTAATATGTAATTCGTATGGTACCTATTTCAGTGGAGGTATATCTATATTTAATTTTCTTTTCACTTGTTGGAAAAGCGATTCAAAAATAAAATATTATAATTACAATGCAAGGCCGTGCCTTTGTAAGATACAACTTTTAAATTATTTTATTTATAGGAAACCTTTATACCTTGCAGGATTATTTGATCGAAATCACGGTCAACGTATATCGAAAGCAATAATACCTGTGTGCGTGTGTATGTGTGTGCACACATACACACACACACACACACATACATCCTCAGCGGATTTTGTCTAGATATAGACTATAAAGTGGAATGTTGTCGGAAAACAATAATACGCCTTAAAAATACGTACCAATATATTATACTTGACAGCGGTAATAAAAAACCAGAACTTTTTATGTTTTGATTTTAAATCTCAAGTACTTATTGCTAAGAGGGTTATTGTAGCGGGAAAATCAAATGTAGGTATATTATATAGTATAACAGTATTATAGGGTTGTATGCGTCTGATGAATAAGGAATAGAGTGGAACCTAAGTATAGAATTGATACCTTAATTCTTATAGAATACGTCCAAAAAATACGACTTAGTATATTATAAATAATAAAATATATTAAATATATCTACTAGATATATTTAATACGATTACCTCGAATATAAAATTTAAAAAAAAGACTGACATATTTGGCACTATGGGTGGGCCACTGTTGTAGGTGAGAAGTTGGGAACAGAGGTTGACTGGTTTGGCGGGCAGGCGGTCATACCCGCCTAGGCCTTCTAGAAATTGTATATTTGGGCCTCAAGCTATATTTGTTATTTTTAATGCTCTTTTTGGAATGCCATACTGTTATCGTTACTGATAGTTGAAAACGATGGAAACGGACATACGCCTAAAATTGAGCCCAAACGATCTTTTTTTTTTTTGTTAACTACGCCCAAGTTTTTATCCGTCAAAATGTAAACTGTGCTTTGTTTGTTATTACTAATTTTATATTTTATACAACTTAAGTTAATTTTCTGTTCAAACTTATTCAATACTCAAAAAATTCAAAAGCTCATTAAAGTATACATCATATTATGACTATATAAAAATGACACATTCGGTAAAACTATAGAATTTTTGAAAATACCAACCTATTTTCAAATAATAATATTTTATGAATACGAACTATTATTTAACAATATCACTGCATGCCACAATGGTCTGCTAACATTATATAATGCTTGTATAAATTAAACATTTAATAATCAGTTATAATAAGGGATAATCAATAATAAGGGATGATAGCCGAACAATTCGAGTCACAGTATTTGATTTTGTAAAAATCTAGAGCTATACATTTTAGATTATGAGTGGAGCGAGCAATGTATTGGTTTTGCAATGTTTTTTTTTTCTGTGGACAACTTTTCTAACAGCAATTTTGCTCTGATTTACAATGATAACACTTTTTCTAAAAGGAAATCTGACTGGGAAGGTATTTTAAAGAGGTCAATTTTAGATTTTCCAGAAGTTTTCTCAGCAAGTTGAAAAAAAAATGAAGAAAAACAGGAAAATGTACGAAACGTATGTACCTATTAGTTAAAAAAAATATTACAGCATTTTTTTTTCTTATGAACAACTTTTCTACCGGCAATTTCGTTTTGATTTACAATGATAGAAATTTTTCTAAAAAAAAAAAATGGATTGGAAAGGTACTTTATGGATATCATTTTTTGATTTTCCCAGGAGTTTTCCCAATAAATAGGAAAAATCGGTACAATATTAAACAAATATTATTAAAGAAAATGTTTAATGTATCTATAATTATTTTACCATAATATGATATAGGTATATGTTATGGACAAAGAAACACTATCAACCGTATAATTTTTTTTATTAGCAATGGTTAATCGTTGTTTACTGATATACATTAAATTCTCGTCTATTTTTCGTTCTATCGAACGATTATTTCGAATTATAACGAATTTGTTATAAACGGTTTGTATAAAGCTATAAAAAATATTTTACATTTATTATGATGACGCACAATCAACTCGTTTCTCGCCGACGAGATGTCGAAAAGTATATTCAAATATTCGAGTATTTGAATGTCGAACACATTTTATAACGACTGACAGTATGTAGAATAATAAATCATTTGTCACATGAACATTATCATATAACTTAACCTAATCTATTAAAGAATTTCAACAATATTATAATGTTTCGTTATATTTGTCGAGTATTATCGGAGGATGAATTGCTTATGATTTTGCAAAGTGATTTCTAAAGTGTACACAATATAGTGGAAAACATCGAAAGAAAAGATCGTAACAATAATCAACAAGATGTCTAATTGTAGGAAATTATTTCTATTCACTCGGAAATCAACGTCCATAATGTGAAACGATTTTTGATCGCGCAGCACAAAACTAGGTATATACGTCTAAAGGGAAACTACGATTTGTTTAAAATGATTCGAAAATGGATCTGAAAACTCTAATGGCAAATATACATAATAATAGGTATATGAAAAATCGTATTAATATTCAAAAGGACATAGAAATCTCTGAGGTGTTGTAAAATTTAAAAATTTGTTTTTTTTTTCTACACATGTGACCGATTGTATTGAATTGTAATATACGAAAATTGATACATTCAAGCTTAATATTTGTACATTTTTTAAACCGTTTATTTGCTGTCTGAAATCAATTAAAATAAGTTATCTTATATTAGTATTAAACAGCTTAATATAGTGTATAACATTACTTATCAGTATATCCGTTGCGGATGACCTACATACGTTTATGCCGTTATCGTTTGTTAGACATTGCGTAGTTTTATGGATGCACTGCATACCGTACGAATATTTTTTAAAAATAATTTATGATAAAATATTAAATAATGACTTACAGAAAAAAAAATTGTTTATGTGCCGTCAAAAATATTATGAGGAACACGGTGTGCCGTGATAAAAATAAGTTTGAAGACTACTGGTCTGTACTGTGTTTAATTTTTTTTCTCGGAAAACCTCTAGAAATACGTGTTTTTTTTTTTTAAATCGTATTATTTAAGTAAACCGGCTTTTGTGGGTTTTGTGTTACAATAATATAGAGGCTACCATCCATACATACTTACAGATTTTGATGTTATGTACACATATATATCTAAAATCTATAAATGTATATACACAATGTACTTATATATTTTTCTCCATACGTTTGTTCTCAAGTTTACCTTTCGATACTGGTTGAAATATACAAAAGATATGTGTATTCCCGTTACATTAAATTTATTATTTTTTTTTTTATAATATTTTCTTACACACAACAGGCTAAAACTTTGTATAATATTATATAAAACGTTTGAGCAAAGTATGCCCATTGTGTAATATTTTTGAACACCCTTACACTGCATTTACCCATAGCCGATCCACCGATTATCTTCAAGCCAAGTTAAAAAAACAGAACGAGCGTTATTTTCTCTTCTTTTTCTCTTTTGCATTCGTATCAGTTATTTGGGGTTGGCCACCTTTGTCCTAAATTTCCACTTGGTCCGACCTCTCACCTCGTATACACTGGTTGTCCTTGAGTGTCTTCATATCATTTTTAATCGCATTCAATCAGTGGCATACTCAGGAACTTTCAATGGATAAGAGATTGTAGATAGTTTCTAGAAAATTATGAAGGGGGCTCTCGGCGCACAACCCCTAGTTATGATATTTAATATTTTATCTAATAATTATAATGTAAAAAAAAAAATAAGCTGATATTGGGGACGGATGGAGCCACTGGTCTAGGTGGAAATTTAGAAAGGTAGAATACACAGTTATTTTTATATCTGTACGCAAAGACAAACTATTTCTAACGAAAAACGATTTAAAGCAAAGTTTGGTGAGGCATATTTGAAATGCCGTCATTTTTACGTTTTTTGTCAAAATTTAATCTTAAAACGCTTAAAAAAAAAAACTAGGTAATGCATTATACTTATAATCGATTTTTAGATGACTACGTAAAACATATGTATCTTTTATTAAATTTTCAAACGTTTCTCTTAAGTCATAAAATTTTAATAATAGATACAAACCAAAAATAAAAATACGAATTTATGAAATACTAATAAATAGCATAAAAATAAGTAAAATGTTTTGAAAATTTTACCACGTATACAAATGGCCAATAAAAGTATTTTGTAAAAACTACAGGTCTCTATAGTAATTTTTAATTGCATAACAATAACAATAAATAACCGTAAATGTCGTACACTTTACCGTATTCTCTACATTTATTCTCGGTTTTCAGAATTATAAGGAAAACTATACGGACAATCAAACAAGGTCAATTTTATTTACAAATTAGACAAAATTTATTTTCAGAAAATACGCTAGGTGTTCTTTAAATTTGGATAAACATTTTTGGTAATTTGAAAAAAATCGTATTTTTCCCAATTTTATGAAAAATACTTTAGGTATCGAAAAATTACTTCCTCTCTCAGTGGTTAAATATTAAATAGAATAAAATCGTTGTTTTGTCCTTTTTTAATTTGAGAAAATTTATGGTAGAAAACATAGTTTGAACAAATTAAAATTATTAAACCGGAACGCCTAGTTACCGTAAATATTAATTAATTTTAACTTTATGGTTTTTCTTAATTATTAAGAAAACTACTTTGAATACCAAATAACAGCTTTCTGTGACAGTGGCTATATATTAAAAATAACACAATTGTTATTTTTCGATTGGCGCAGTATTTCTGGTAGAAAACATAAGTTACATAAATTAAAAACAATAAAATTGGTAAAACCGCGGTGTGCTGTCAATATTTGCCGTTTTACCCATTTTTCTTTCGAGGTTTTCCAAATTATTTTGAAAACTTGTTGGAGATCAAAAAATGACCTCCCCAATGCACCAACAGGAAAAAATTTATTTTTAGAAAGGCACTAAACTCTATACATCGGAGTAACATTTCTTTTCGAAAAGTTGTTTACAGATAGAAAAAAGAATGCACATTATAGTAAACCTAATAGACCCCTCGCTACTCTCCGAATCTAAAATAAATACGGCCAATGGGAGGGGGGGGTGTAAATCCTATGACCCCTCGTGAGTACGCCTATGCATCCAACCAGCTTTTTTTTACCAGCAAAACAGGGTACCCGCAAGAGTTAAAGATATTAATAGCGATCAAAGAATGGAAAGGATTAGAGTATACGAAAATGGAAGAATGAAAACAAAGAAAATTGAAAGCTGGGTAAATGTCGATGTTAATTCATTTTTTGGGTTGTTTTTACAGAAAGTATTTTTTTGAGCTGGTCTTTTCTGTACTATTTAAGTAATTTTCAGGTTTCATTATTCTCGTAATATTATACTTTATTAGTATAACATTGCTATATTATCCTATAAAAGTCTCTGCGTGTATTTTCCTCCGTGTACATTTATTCTTCGTTTAATCTTGTTGTACAAGTATACGTGCAGTACCTGCTATTGTTTTAAAACTATATTGTGCTCATCATACCCATACACATAATTTATATTATTCTTGGTTATATTATTAATTTCATTACTAGGTAGATAGGTATAAAACTTCACCGCTTTCTGTTCTTAAAACGTATTGTTGATATTCTCTTTATTCTATTCTCCACACACATAAGCGTAGGTGCTTAAACGCACTTTATAGACAATATCGTGGAAATCCAAAATGTAAGTCGTAAATGCAAAGTGTTTGATATAATTTGTACTTAATTAAACAAATCTCAATATTATTAGATTTTATTAGGTGTATATGAACGATTAGATCATATAATATAATTACATTTTTATTTATTTATTCGTCGGTAAAATCTAAATAAAAAAAATTCAATAGGTAATAACTTTCTATTTATTATGTATGATGTACCTGCCTATCTACGTATTTGATAGAAATATTTACTATTCTAATTTCAAACATAACCTCGAGTGAGGAGTGTTGTTATCATTTTTTAATCCATTAAATTTAACATAATTTAGACGAATTTATTCGATTTTCCATGGTTCTATGATTTAATTTTAAATAGGTGTTTTGATGTTAACGATGTTTTATTTTAATATATTTCGTATCTAGGTGGAAGTTAAATCGCATGTTTATTTTTTTATTTACAAAAAGCATAATATTTTACATCCACGTCATTCTACGTACAGCGAAAGTGTATTTTAGATCGGTATCTTAAAAAGTATATCTGTGTTTAACTTTGCTGTTTCTTAAAAGTTTACCATCATGTTTACGTTCGTTGCGTACGAAGTAAATCCGGACTAGGAAAACATAACACTTATATATACATACGATATATTATTATCATACGTTGTTCATAACTTTTTAGAGGCTGATCTTGTTCCGAAGACTTAAAATTAGACAGTGTGTATATACCTACCTACTTATAAACTTGATGAAAATATTAATATAGAAAAACGGGCAGAAATATTTAAGTCTGAATAAAATAATGAAATAGATATTGTGCTTCACTCACCTCGACATAGTCTATATAGGTATTATTATTATAAATGTGGTATCAACGAGCAAGTTTGATATGAGTTAAGTTCACTATAGGGCTTAAACTATTTTAAGTAGGTATTGTACTCACAAAAAAAAACAAGAATCTCGAGGATTTTCAACCGTATTGAATATGATATTTGTTATTTATTATAGCTATCATTGCGAATTTAAATATTAGTTACACCCAACACATAATGTATGAAATAACAAATTTAAAAAAAAGAAAACCTAATAATTTTTTATTTCGGTTTATTAAAAGGAAACAACTTCATAAAAAGGTCTAAATGCAATAAAATATGAAAAAAAAAACTGGCCACCGTGATTTTTGAAAAATATCAATCATTATAAATAATTCATAAATCAAAATGCATTATTAATTAATAATATTATCAGTCGTGAATCGAGAAATTAATTTATCGAAGGACCGTGTTTTTAACGTGAAATTTTTTTTTTTTAATATTCACTTCTATATGCCTTACAAAAGACGTATTTTAATCATAGTTTTTGAAATGTAAGTACTATTTTTCGTTCTTTTATCGCTGGGCATTATAAAATTGCTTATTCTCCCTCGAAACATGTCGAAAGCACCTGCGTTCAATTTTCTTTATAAAATAACCGAATGAAACTTTTGGCCACACCTATACTATATTATGTAAATGTTACATAACATATTTTAAAACCATTACACTCTTCGTCGGTTCGCCCCGTAGTTATTTTAAACGAAACTTATATTTATATTAGTCGATATTATACCGTTATTCACGCTTTCAAAAAAATGCACGGTTTATATTATTGTATGGCGTATTTAACGATTGCCTATGCAACTATATAATTGTAAACATTGTAAAATCTTGGTACATAGTATTAGTTGGTAAAGCACGATTCTGTACATTTTATCTTTTTGGGAACACGATTCCGTACAATTTTGATCAAACAATAGATTATCAAAATAAACACAAAAACAATACGATTCTGTACGTTTTTTCTGTGCAATATTGCCATTTATTATTTATTATTGTAAAATAAAATAAGAATAGTAATTAGTATAAAAAAAAATAATTAGACACCTGAATTTGATAAATTGTTTAAAAAAATATGCATCTATAAAATTGTATAAAAATAATCAGATAAAATAAATAAAATCGATTTTTCGCCAGCATCGGTCAGTTTGCCCAGGAAAAATCCGATCGTCTGTTTGGACCCTCACTAATAGTAACGTATATGCAAAACGTACGTAAACCGCTATAAACCAAGTCAAATAGTCAAATACCTGTGTAAACATATGAAAATCTGGCAACATCGCACAAAAATCGTAGGCACAAAACGTACGGAATCGTGTTCTACCTAGTATTAGTATTGTAACTTTAAAATTGTTGATTAATTGTATAAGTACTATGATTTTCTATGGAAAGTAAAAAGGTCGTGACTAATGGACAGGACCCGTTTTTCCCAAATTCGACCTTTCCCGTTTCATCCGATTACCCGTTTCGCCCAAATAAATTTTAGTCATTTTAAAATTAAGTTGGAAATCGTTATTGAATAATAATTGAAGCACAAAAAATTATTTAAAAATGTTTTTCACAAATTATTATTTTATAAAAATGGGTAGCATTAAAATTGAATAAAAAACAAATGACAAAAAACTAAGGAAAGACAAGAATAACATGAAAAACGTACACAATATATATCGTTTATTATGGCACCGGTTACATTGATATATTTAGTATAATGACCTTAGATTAAAGGTCCCGTCAAAGCTCCTATATTGTAATTACTCATTTGTATAGATTATGACGTCTGCACAATGACTATACGGATATTATGAGGGTTATTTTTGGTTGTATTGGACAAATCTGTTATCTAAAATGACTGTATTAAACTTTTATCGAAAGAAATATTTTTTTAATACAATGTATATATAATTTTATAATAATCTACAATTTTTTTTTTAGTTAATTTTTTTTTTTATCTATTGGAATTACGATTAAGCGATACAAATATAACACATTGATTGTAATACAATATTATATTCATATAAAATATAAACATAATCAAGTTTTTAAATGTTATTTTACCATTTTGATTATAATGACTTCCGGTCATTATGACTAATTTTAATTAGACCCTTTTATTTCTACTGTACTTTTATACTATTATACCTGGTGCAATAACTAGTTATAAGTTTGTAAAAACCATATTATGTAGATATTTAAAAAAATAATGATTTGTATTTTGTGATAACTTTTAAAATAATTTTCGTCATGTTTCAACTATTATTCATAAACCATTGCCAAATTAATTTTAAAACGACTAAAATGTATTTGGGCCAAAATGGTAAAGTCGAGTTTGGGCGAAACGAGTCGCACCCTGAACTATTATTACGTATAAACTTAATACGTAATTTTAATAACCCATTCTAGTCTGTCCTTTAACTCGAGCAATAAAAGTAAAGTTAAGTTTGACAAAGGTACCTAAGTATACCCTTAAGTAGGTAACTTGTAGACAAGCTTATATTAGTGATAAGGTTTACTTTGATTCAATTAAATGTTATTAAGTACAATAATAATATAATATTAGTTATACGCAACGTTAATATTTAAATAATAATATTATTTATCAACAGTAAGGCAATATTTAATGAAACAGAAGCGTAAAAAAATTAATTTAAAATCATTGTTTGTTTAATTATTATCTGTTGCGCATTCATTATGTTATTATAGTTGTCAAGCAAGTGCGATGTTTAATGATTGAATAAAAAGTAATTTATAACAGAAACATAGCCAATATAGGTAATAGATATATAAAGATAATTGAATTTAATGTAATATGTATACAATAGGAAAATAAAGAAAATAGAAAAAAATATAATTTATTTTCGGTTTCCTCTATGTCATATTAGTTTGAGAGTTGAATATTTACACACTTGATATGTATCTGCGCAGCAAACTTTTAAGATTTCAGTGTTGTCGAGGATTTAATTTCCGTCATTTCATTAAAGTTGAGCGCACATACAAAGTAAACTTAACATATGATTCCGTTTAGGATAATGTGTACAAAACTAATTATAAATTGGCCATCTTTGGATATTAAAGGTTTTAGAAGTATATAGTTATAACAGCTACAGTATAAATGTTTATAAATTAAAAGTTTTTGTTAAAAGATTTGTTTTAATTTCGGTAATTAAAAAGCCAATTTATAATCCAAGAATTTGATTTATTTGAGTTTAATATTCACGGTTAAGAAATCACCAAACTGTCATATGTATAAAACCGTGTTCTTTTAGAAGATTAATATACAATGTGCAATAAATATAAATAATTAAATAGTAGGTAGGGCTAAGAGTGAGATTTTTGTCACACGTATCTACGTGAATTAAGTTAAACCTATACATTATACGGTGTAATTTAACGGGTAATGTCGTGACTGTTATTTTAATAGTTTTTTATTCCTGTCATACATGACGGGTTATAATGGTCATTGAAACTTTTAAAATGGCTACTATTGATTAGTATTAGATTCAAATCCTGCAAACTTTTATGGCGACAATTTTTTTTACATACGAATTTTAATGAAACCAAATGTTTTATTTCATTATTAATATTGAAAAAATCATTATAAAGTACGACAACTGCGCACTGACTTAGACGGACTCAAATATAAATTATATTTAATGATTAAATGTGAACTAACAATAATTTATTGTTCGTCAATCGCATTCATCTGGTACAAGTTAATTAGCTCCAATGACCAATACACTCTTGATGATTACAATTTAGGAAACTATATGTATTATGACACAAAGTTGCATTGTAAGCCTAATTAATACAAATAATACATTATATATTTGTGGGTAAATCTACAATTTTTTGGTAAAGAGGATGTGTAATCTCCGTCCTACTAACGCGTGACGTAATAAAATAACGTTAATTTCTCTAAAAAATCGTCACACTTATTAAAAAGTTACAACCATGTTGTTAATTTTTGCATTTTGTAAGTAGTTGTAACTTTGTTGTACCTATGACAATGTTTTAGAAAAAGCTATGTACAGCTCTCGAAAAATGTCTTTATTTTAAACTGTCATTTTTTCATTTCAACTTCCATCTAGTCTGACATGAAATGTAAGATCATATGAATTCATATTATATAATTGTGTATAGAGTAAGCAAATAAAACGTTACCTACCTATCCAAAAAAAAAAAAAAAAAAATTATAATAAAACGACTTACCAAAAGGATATTGTATGGCAGCCAACAAACCGTGAACGCTATGACTACAGTTACCATCATTTTTATCATCTACGAAAAATGTGACAGTGATATTTGACTATCAATATTATTTTATAAGCGTTACTTTTCTTTTTGATTTGGCCATTCTAACGTCTCGGGAGTTTTGCGCTTCGCCCGGCGTTCTTTTTCCCCAGACGACTACTCCGATGCTGATGTAAGTGAATAACAGAACGGCGAACGGTATGCAGTACTGAAGAACCAACATCGCTACGTTGTAGACATGGTAAACGTTCTGATTTGGCCATATTTCGATGCAAACGTAAATGTCGCATTTCTAAGGAACGCCGAACAAAAGTAATTAAGTAATATATAATATTAATTTATTAATCATATATTGTACCTAGTGGCGTACTAACGGGGGGTGGGGTTTGATCCCCCCCCCGAAATTTTTAGAATTTATGAATTTATTTATTATATGAGAAAACTAAAATGCATGGTACTTATAATTAATTGTATTGTACTTAGCAACTTAGGTACCTATAACAAATTGTCTATCATAATCAAATAAACAGCGTACAATTATTGTTCTATGCAATTCTGGTATAAATATTAAATGATACAGCCATTGATTTTAGAGTATTCTATTCTATTTTAGTAAAATGTGGGTACTTACGGGAATATATGTATTTCTACAAAAATATTGTAGATATGGACGTGGACGAACGGTGTAATCGGCATTATCGGTAATCGGTATTATCGCCGTCACGTTTTTTATTTTGTGCGATTAATCGCCCAGTGTGTTAGCCATTGAACCATTAAACTTAGTGACAAACGAAATTACGACAAGTACGTTGTTAAAACTTATTTTTTTTAAAAATACATTAACAATGGATAAGTGGATAATAAAAAAACCTAAACTTGATNACCAACATGATACAAATTATAACAACGATCCAAACTTTAAGAGATCAGAAATAAATGAAATTAGTTCAGGTAAGGCTATTATTTATTTTATTCTTCTTATAGAATAAAACTATTATTAATACTTAGTACTTAATAGGTTTAAATGAGTCAGCAGCTAGTAACAGTACACAAATACACTCGAAAACTTATGATTCTGATATTGGTACCTATGGAGGAAAAACGATTAATAAAGATGAAAAGTACAAGCTTTTGAAAAATTGATGGATACCAAATGAGTTTTATAAATTTCCCATCAGTGGAACAAGAAAACTCAAATTCCAAAGACACTGGTTACTGGAATTCCCTTGGCTTTCAGTTGCCAATGTAGAACGGAGTTTTTCAACGCTGAAACGATTGAAATCATATTTGAGGAATTCTACGGGGGAAAATCGACTTAATGGATTGGCTCACCTAAGANTTTTTTTATGTATACGTATGGCTTAGTAATAAGTAGTTATTTCAGACTTCAATACACATTTTATTATGACATGTCAATTAAAAAAACACGAATACAAATTAGTAGTCTATTAAAATGTACGATATGTTTTGTTATGTTCAGGTGTCAGGACGTCAGGTCCAATTTGAAAACAATTTAAAAATTAAAAACCCCCCCAAAATTCAGGTCTAAGTACGCCACTGATTGTACCTGTTAAAAAATACAATTAAAAGTAGGATAAACTTTGCACCATGGGTAGGTCTGCAAGTAGGGTTGTTGTACGTTGAGAAAGTATAGGGTATACAGGATTACAGGATGTTCCACAAAGATATACCCATTACAATATCTCCTGAGATAAATAAGATAATCAAATTCTGTTTTTTTTTTTTTTTATATTGTAAATAAATTCGCTAATTGATTATTATTATTATAGCTAATACACTTTTTTCTCTGAACTTTAAAAAAATATCAAAAATCACTAATTTAATGAAAATTTAAAAGTTGAAACTTCAAAATTTTTAAAAGAATAAATTCGATAAAATGACTTCAAATTTTTCATAAATAATAAAATAAAAAGTTATTTTTTACCAAAACAAATTTAACAAATTTAATTTAAATACAAATATTTGTAGTCCTTATCCGTACGAGTAATAAAAAAAAAAAAACCGGAATTTGATTATCTTTATTATCTCAGGAGATATTGCTATGACGGTATGTACCCATATCTTCGTGGGACATCCTATATTTACAATCTATACCGAAAGTAACAATATTAATTTTTACAATCACAAAACAATTTTGATAGTTGTTTTGCTAGTCGTGTAACTGTAGCCAATTAAGTAACTCAGTGTTGTAATTTATTATTTTGGGTTTTTTTTTTTTTAAACTGTTCGAAATTTAAAAAAATTTCAAACAGTACCACCGGATGAAATATTTGAATCGTGTAAAATGGGGTGAGAACAAATCGGAGCATTTTTACTATTAAAAATTGTTTTCCCAGTAAAAAATAAACACACCTTAGTAATTTAATAGGTACAATTATACACTCAGAATCTAAAATTAATACAATTGTTTTGGTAATACTACAATGTAGGAAAGAGACGTTTTAGCGAACTTCTGTCGTACTATATTTCGGTATCTTTGTAATACTAGGTACCTAAATTAGGTAGATATTAGGTAGGACGCTCCTAATATTGTAAAAGCAATTAAACGAAAAGTAACGCACGTTTATTTATAACCATTTTCCTGTTTTAATATTAAAATTAATATTTGGAGAAGAGGTTCCTTTCTCTCGTTATGTTATTCATATAGTCACAGGAAATTATACGGATGTAGTAACTATAATGTATGTATGTATAATGTATACATATATAATATATGTATGCATGTATGCGTAATACTGTTTTCAGAATAATGTTATTTATAGTAGATACCTAGGCATATAATGTCAGTTATCTGGCGAAACCTTGTAAGTAGATTCTAACATATTTTACAAAACTGTGCCATACAACTGTTATAAGGAAAACTATAAAGAATATAAACAGAATGACCGCCCAATGCACTAACTAGATCAAAAATGATACATGAATGTTTCTATAAAGTTTTTGATTGGAGCGAGATTTTTGGTAGATATTGCTAATGATTTATCGCTATTTACAAATATAAATTTAAAAAAACTTATATAATTGGGAAAACTGTAAAAAGACGGAAAATAAAACTGGACAAATATACGGCGTTATGCTTTCATTATTTTAAATTTTTACGGTTTATGTTTTCTACAAAAAATATTTTTCTTATAGTTGGTGACCAAGAAAGTCGTTTTTTAATTTTCTTTGTAGTTTTTTCAATAATTTAGCAAAACCGAGAAATACGTAGAATGAACTGGACAATGTACAAAAATAATTATTTTATTATTTTGTAATGAGTATTTTATGTTACATTTTTTATAAAATTTTTAAAATCAAATTTGGACGAAAATCGTAAATATTACGGCCTTTCAAAAGATGCACAACCGACCTTCGCTTAGAATCGTTTTTCATTAGCAACGGTTCATTATTGGTTACAGATATAAATTAAATACCTTTATACATCTCACCTTCCCAACTATTCACCTACAGTGGCTGTACCCGGGCTCAGTTTCAGTAATTTTTTTTTTAAATTAATGATGTCTTTTAGTGTTAAGTTTTCAAAATAAATTCGTTCGTTGCAAAACTTTATCAGTTATACAGTTATAACTGCCAGCGTATTATATAAATGTCAAACTCGGAATATTGCTTTATTAAAAACTTTATTTCGTTTACTGGGCGGATTATCTATAGAGTGGAGTATATTGTTCCGGCTTCGTTTATTTAACGTTTTAAATTGCACGGCTAGGTAGACAGTTAGTGAAGTTATTATTTATATTCAAAATTATTGTTATTTTTGTATTTAGAGACAGGTAAATGCTCGTAAAAGCTTATTTATGTCAGAAAACCACGATCGAAAAAACTCAAGAGTCGAGGTGTCGCTATAATATTATACAAATAATTGAAATGTTTAAAACGATTTTCAGAGTTTATTCGAACAGATTTGCGATATTGACTGTGAGGTAAAACTATTTAGATAATAATATTATTGAAACTTATTTATATTTCTGAACGAGAAATATGAGTTATTATTTTAAATTTAAAAATTAATTACGGTTATTTTTTTCTATAAGTTTTTACTTTTAATATTAATATTATTCCATATGATTTCATTACATTATATCGACAAACCATGAATAAAATGTCATATACCAACATCTTGGCAGTTCTGTTCCATTAATTCACGGATTTATTGATAAATGAACATCCCGGTAGGTCACTTGTCCCGTCTTGTCATCCTACAACCCTCCCTCCCGTGGGTATTACTAAACAACCTGAACGGAATAATATACTCATGCATATGTACATTTTTAATATATGTATATTAATATATTTACCTTGTGCCAAATCAATGGCTGGTGCAACGTGGTAAAGAGTAAAATCGGAAGCGCCGTAAGTATGGCAACTATCCAAACCAGTGCGATTATGTATTTAGCGTGGTGTTTACCGGCCCTCGGCTTTAGCGGCCACATAATCGCTATGTACCTGTCGACGCTGATGGCCACCAATGTATACGCACTCACCTGTACGAAAAATATGAATCTATATTTAAATTAATAATGATAATATTATTTTACACACTAGGGGAAAAAATGTTTTCGATAACATTATGCAAAAACGTGTTGCACGGAAAAATTTGAAAACGAAAAAAAATGTTCTTATAAGTTTGTACTCCGTATTATGAAAAAAAATTTTCTACTAACAAACATTCTAGGTATTAACCATATTTTGGGGTTCTTTACACATTCATAATTAAAATTTGGATTTTCTTATTCGTGATTTTTTTAGATATCAATAAGATTAAGAAGGTTGCAGGTCCCTAAACATCTTAATCTTCTACCTTTTCATTGATCAATCCTTGCTACCCCACTGAATTAAACGCCTTAAAATAGTAAGTATATGTAAATTTTGTAATTATATTGAATTTAATTACATATGTAAAAAATTATGAGTTATAACCGAAATAAAATATAAATAATAAAATAATTTATGAAACACCCTTAAATTACAATATAAAAAGCAAGATAAATCGCTTAATTTAATGTGCTAAATAAGATAGTTTTAAAAGGCAATAAAAAAGTTCTACACGGAAAAAAAATGAAAATTCTTTTGGACACGACACATATTTAAAATGTTTTTGAACATTAAAACGTAAAAAGGGAAAAAAATGAAAACGAAATTTTCCTACACGTTTTTATTTCCTGGTATGATCAAATAAAAATTGGAATGCATATAAGCATATCGGTATACATTACATCACCTAAGAAACAATCTCCGTTTGTGATTGGCTAATTTCATTTGTATACGAGTATGTGTGTGTGTGTGCAGAAATGTCATATGCATTGCTATTTTCGTTGGGATGTCGATTTATTTTTCTAAGCGTTGATGGTGTTTTAACGGATTAATAAAGTTCATGTGAACGATAATAGTTCATGAGTAATGAGGATGAACTATTGTTGTTTGAACAATTGTTTTGCTTTTTTCTTTTATTATATCTTCTGCGTGTTTTTTCCCCTGTAAGGGGATACATTCGACATCGGCGTGGATTTTTATAAAAAATGTATGGTTATTTTCGATTGAGTTTTGACATTTATTATTGTAGCGAGTGAATGGAGATGATGAAAGGCCACAAGACAAAGCAATTTGAGATTGAAAACATGGATAAACAGAAACACATTATGACACTTCCGAGCACGTGTAATTAAACTCGATGCAATAAATTTGAATAGGCCAACCAGAACCACTGAATGCTAGTACCTAATGAAGTTATTTGTTAAACAACTTCTGTTGTACGAACATGCAAACTGTTGTTTAATTAAAATTAACAATTAAACTTCTTTTAGCTGCTATCATTATTTCCCATAAACAAATTATTTGTGAATAATTTGTAATAAATTGTTTATTGTATAAACAATTAAATTATACGTGAGTAGATACTACGATATAAAACAGTCACTCAAACTTTTTTTTCACCAGTTGGACTGTAAATCAATAATTATTTTCTTTATAGTCAAACAAATTATTTAGTGAAAACCGTATTTCAAAATTCGCAATCGTTTGAGAGAAAGAACACATACAGACGGACGGACAGACACACAAGGACAGAATCATAAATTAGATTAAGCACTTAATAATTAAATACAATACTACACTACATCAAAAAAATTAGCAGGAGTTTGTGTAGAAAGTTGAAACACCCAAAATGTACATCCTAGGATTTAGATACTATAACGTCATGCAAAACAACTTTTGAACGGTACAATTTTAAATGCATCCAGGACATTATAAATAATGATGTATTAGCGGCCACAGGTACTTATTAAAAAGTTATAGTCTTGTCAAATTTCAAAAGTCCAATGAACTAAGTATAGTATAGAACAGAAAAGGGTAAAGCTGAAAAAATCACGAGAAGATGTGATGAACGTTTAAAATGTTCAATTATGGAATATTCTAACATTTTTAGTTACTATTGTGTTTTATCTATAGTTGTTTAATAAGATTAACATGTTAAAACTACACGGAAAGTTCGTGTATAGGTAACCAACGGTAAAATTTTCTCCGCTCTTGACTTTGAATATTCTTCGAACGTTCCAGTAGTTTTTAACTTTTTTTACGACATATTCTAATCCATATCCATACAAATGGTGACCACTTAAAAATTCTAATTTGCCGACGGTTGTTTTTTTAAAATATTTTTTTTTTGTGCTACATTTTGTACTTTTTTTTATTAATTTTTTTGGTCACGGTAATACGCGATGTAATTAATTGTTGAGTACTGACTTATATAAACCCCACATTTTTCGTAGTTTTATAAGTCTGATTTTCCCTCCTCCCTATTTTACTTTAGTTATATTCCACGACAAATTCTTTTAATTCTTTTATTTTTTGACGAACCAATAGTACACCGTTTACTACGAACTCTTTTAAAATATTCGTTGTTCGTTAGCCCGTCATTTGTAACGGCGAACAAATTTATTTATAATATATTAAATAAATTAAAAAGAAGAGAAAACATCACCGCGTGATTCTTATGCCTTTTAGTGCGTCTAACGCCATCAGTCTAGCACGATATCTTCTACACGTCGCAGTTGTGAATGTCAAAATGTTATTACCGGCGCAGTATTTTCTCGTGCTGGAAATAATGTTTTAACTTCTAGTAAGCCGTGTGTTATGTAGTGCGCTGAACTGTGAATTTCCGTTTATAAAACACTGATTATCTACACCAAACAATATAATATACGAATATATTATGCGAAATAGGATTTATATGTACACACGCGACGGATAGAACTAGGAAAGTACCGTTCTTCTGCTACCCCTTGAAAAAACCCAAACATTTTAGCTGCGAGATTTTCAGAAAAAAAAAAAAATAACCATCTAGGGATAAGGGGTATATGTCTAATTTCTTCTTAAACAAATATTCAGTATATACATATATATATATGCAGTTTGAAACATCAGTGTGTTTGGAAGAAAAGATAATACATTTTATAATTATGTACTTTATAGGTATCTACTTGTAGTACCTTAGGTGTGTTTATAATCTGATATTTCTCACAATCTAGTTAGACCACTGTATAGCACCAAGAATATCATATTTTTATAAATAGTATAAATAGTTTTATAACACGAGATTATAAAGTACCATAGGCCATTAGAATTAGTCTCTGTTGTACTACAACGAATTTTAACTTAATATAATATCATTATATTGTCATTCGATAATGTTCTGATGTTGCTATAATAGCCATTAAAGTAATACGATCTTCAAATATTGGTTTACTATAACTGGTTTGAGCTACTAAATACTACTGCAGCCTGCAGTCTGCAGTATACTCTCGGTCCCATGATGTGATGTTGATATTTCGTATTAAATATATATCGTTATACAGTTAATAGAATATTATGAATATACGCTGTTTGTTCGATAATCCGTAATTCTGTTTTTAGTGGCATATTAAGAGAGGGTGTACTAGGCTTTAAACTGTCCTTTAATTTGATGAGTATGTAAAGTGGATAGTGATGGTATCATGATACAATATCGTGCAGTATCCCATTGGTGATAGAGCAGGGTTAGCATATAATTGAGTGTAGGTATGTCATAATATAGGCAGGTGTTAATGGATGGCGAAATACTGAATGAGGGTTTTCGCCACACGACCTCATTGCCTTTAACTGGTTGTTCACAAATTGTTGGTAATGTATTATATTGATTATACTGCTTAAATAGTGTCTAGAGTCAATATTTGCAAAAGTGTACTTGATCCACAGTTTAAATATCATCTATCGAGATCCAGTCTCCGAGACCTCGTTTTTTTCATATATTAATAAACAAAACTCTGATCCACCATAATTTCCCGTAAACGGAAGAGATGGTACAATACCGAGGAGAAAAGTAAGTATATTATGTGATCAGTCTATGATATTATCTGTGAGAGAATATTGTTAGGACTTTTCCCCCTCCTCAAAAATAAGAATTCAAAATACGCCAATGCCTGTCTCAGATACTGAGACGACCGAAGAATACATTATACATAAATATAAGTTTTACAATTACACGGTTTTTTATCGAATTTTCCACTACAATAAAAACTATTTACCTGTGTTGTATATATATATTTCGTATGGCCTAACCTAACTGTATTGTGTCTACTAGATATATATACGAGTTGCCCCACGATGAGATGCCCATTGTAATATCTCCGGAGATAATAAAGATAACCAAATTCTGTTTTTTTTTTTATATATTAATCGTGGAGATAAGGACTGTAAATATTTATATTTCAAATAATTTTTTACGTTTTAGTAAATAACTTTTTACTTTATTATTTATGAAAAATTTGAAGATATTCATTTTACAGAATTTATTCTCTTGAAAATTTTGAAGTTTTATTTTTACATTTTATTTTCATTAGATTTGTGATTTTTAATAATTTTAAAAAGGTCAGAGAAAAAAATTAGCCAAAACAATAATAATAATCAATTAGCGTACGCATTTACAGACGGTTGTATAATAATAGGTACTGTTCTCTGAAATTTAATAAATTATTAAAAATCACGAATTTAATGAAAATAAAAAGTTGAAACGTGGTATCGAATAACTATATGAAGTTAATATCAAGAATGTTTCTTTTGGGGGTTTCAACTTTGAACTCCCTCTCCAATCATTGTTATGTTATAAAAAAATGTAATAAAACTCTGAAAACGCTATTTTAAATTAAATAAATACAAAATAAAATAAAATATTGTAATGGTTACAAGTCGTCTGAGGGAAAATTTCAATATAGTGACGGAACCCTACTGTTCATGTGTGATTGTTTCTCCTATTTTTGTTAGGTTATTTTTCGTTATTCGTGTGGCAATAGAAGTCATCACGTGGAATTTTATTGTTTACGAGGTGAAACCACGAATACCTATGTCTTATATTATATTATTTATTACACGGTGGAAATTTAATGGCGTGTCGACTTAAAAAACCAACATCCAAGCGATCGTTTGGCTTTTATTTCTTCAAATATTCCCTCCCTTTTCAATTTTCAAAGTGCAGGGTCGGAACGTCACAAGGCTCGAAACTGGGCACACATATACACTCAAAAAAAGTTATCGCCCTCTTTTCCGACAGTTTCGGGACTAACGTCGGGTTCCTGGGCAAAGTATGTACGCTATTATAGCAGACATCCGTCATTTCGGTCATTGATGTTATTACACGCCTCATCCCCGTCCATAATATTCGTCGCCGAGAAAGTCTTTCTCCAGCCGTAATGGAGTTTTCGTCGGTTTTCTGGGTCCAGGCCTACGTGACAGCCGGTTGAATCAGGGGGGAGAGGAAATATGAAAAAATGGTCCGGGAAATATCACGCCTATTGTATATGTCACCGGTTTTTTCGAATTCTGTTTTTTTTTCTTTTTGGTTTTGTAATATATTATTATTATTATACTATCACCCGCAGTGATAAATATCACAACAGAAATGTAAATCAAATTTGAAATTTCGGTTGTTCATGGTACAAAGACTGCATTTTCTCACATTACGCAATAATAAATAGATACCGCATAAATTATATAATCACATGCAGTTATTCTATTGGATTGTTCGGATTTTAATATTATTCTCGGAAACCATTTCACTTTTTTTATTTTTATTACCATGTTTATCGTTGTATAGAGGAAAACTAGAAAATGGCCGAATAATATTATATTGGGTATACAATATACGTATACAAACTGGACATATCGAACCGTTATGTACGCAGTTTTGTTGAGAAATTTAATCGTTTAAAACATTTTCGCAGAGAAATAATGTAATAATATTACGTTTACTTATTTAAATAAATCTGGGTGGTGTGATAAATTCTATTAGACAAAAATTAGTATTATTATTATATACGGAGGATTAATAACATTGGGGTAGGTAGACCTAACCTCTGAGTATTTTTATTATTTTATTCACATTCTTGGTTCTAAGTATATGCCCGTAAAAAATCTCTTGTAGAGGTAGTTATGTCGAAAAGAGAAAAAAAACAGAAGTTAATTCGAAGGGGGAGGAATAATGGAAATGGTGCAAAATAAAATTGTAGTTTGTAAGATTGGGATTTAAGTCGCACCGCTACTACCTAATAACGGCAGCAGGCCGGAAATAGTATAGTATAGTGGGTAATCACGAAACCGTGACGTTGTTTTCGGCCGCCGAGTCAGAAATGATTCATCGGAAACGACGCCATTTTGTATGTAATATATTATTATACGAAATGCGTGTTATATAAAAACCAAGAGTGCCACCATAGAGCCAGTCGTCTGGTATACATGTATAATACTGATGGTGACAACATCCCGTATTGTTCGCATATAATGATATAGTAATGAATACGATGATAAGTCGTGTAATTTGTCATCGCGGCGGCAGTGGCGTTGGTCGTCAAAAGATGATAATATATTGTTATCAAGACGGTGTTTGAATACGAGTGCGCTCACAGCGTATTATAGTATAGGTGGTTAATACTGAGATGATAATAATTTTCTGTTTTGAATTTTTAATTCTTGAAATCAGAATTACTCTCAGATTTCTACAGCTAAATATACTATTGACGAGTGTACCACTGTTGTAGGTAGGACATTGGCATAATTAGCTCATAAACCTTGGAGGGGGGGATTGTGCCTCAATATAATATAATTTAATATTATATACTTGTGATTGTTGGAGCCTTAGGTATGGCTCTGGTGGTTATTGACTCACGTGTCATTTAACCGAGAGGGGGTAAAATATTAGAAGAATTAATGGAATTTACACCCCCCGATCAAATCTCTTAAGTGATCATCTAACCAGGGAGAGGGGGGGGGATAATATTTGGGTTAAGTATCACGAGTGTCCATTTTCACGGTTACACTGTTTAAATCAATTTAACAGCAATGGGAAATATGATTTGTGAGCGAACAAAATAATATATACCGATATTAGACAGGTTTTAAATATTCCTACACTTGCCTTACGTCGTCGTAAAGCGGATTTAGATTTACTATAATCAGTTCTAAATGGTTCTCTGCATCTTCCAGAACTCTTTGCTATTAAACCCTTTAGAGTGTCTTCTCTTTCCTTAAGAAGTATTTTATTGTTCTATATACCTATTGTGCCAAATCCATAATTTTATTCGATGATGCGTACGTGATACAAAACAAACGCGATTGTCTTGAAGGTAATACGTGATATTTAATCTTAAATTTCAGCGTTTTTGTAAATAATTTTAAGTTTTCATAATATGAAATTCATATTGCTCGTTTTTAATACATTGATTTTATTCCGGTTTTAAAATGATGCGTTTTTTTTTTGCGGCGGTAAATATGTGCTAAACTTCAATGTTCGTGACACATAGTCGCATAATATTATCTCTTGTATGTCATGATGGGACATTGAAAAAAGACGATATTTTACGGAGTAACTATATACATTTTCCTGACTTTATTACCTATTTAGCGTATAACTTCCAGGAAAATCGCGAATATATTATTATAAATTGAAAAATTCACAGTGAGAAAAAAAAGTGAAATCGATCAGTTTTTTTTTGCCGGCCAACTCGATTATTTCGTTTTATGCGTGATACTTTAGAAAACAATATATATCAGTTTATATTTTTAGACGACATGTGACGTTTTCGTCGGTTTATTTTTATTTTAATTGTTTACATATTAATATCAGTATATACATTTTGGAAAATAGGTACATTTTATAAAAATTTGTTAGCAGGTTGTGTAAAATTTTCATTCGTTTTAAAAAAATATCTACCTAATTGATTACTGATATTTTTGAAAATTAAACTCAGTTTACATCGGTGATAATGCTGCTATCATGATATTTGCGAAATTCGTTAGTGTAATAGTTACTATCATGGACTGCCATAAAAGCTATTATCACAATATCAATAAATAACAGGTGTAATATTAACAAATATTATTAAAAAAAAAAAGACGTCCTAGGATTATGGAGACGGGTGCATCCACTGTTATAGGCGATTTAATGTTTATCTGTAAGTAACAAACCATTGTTAACGAAAAAAATCGATTCTGAGCTCAGTTCAGTTGCTTTGTTAATAATATATATGTCATATTATGGTGAAATAATTGAATAGAGATTATACATTTTCTTTAATAATATTTGTTTAATATTGTACCGATTTTCCCGGTTTTCCCATGTTTTTTTCCTGGTTTTTCACATTTTCTGGGAAAACTCTTGGGAAAATTGAAAAATGACTTTTTTAAAGTACCTTCTCAGTCACATTTCCTTTCAGAAAAAATGTTATCATTTAAATTTGGACCGAAATTGTTGGTAGAAAAGTTATACACAAAAAAAAGTCTTAATATTTTTTTACTTATACCTGCATTTTGTACATTTTTCGCTTTTCCGACATTTATCCTGGTTTTTCCCAGATATTATGAAAATTGCTTGAAAAATTAAAAACTTACCTCCCTATATTACCATGTAGATAAATTTCCTTTCAGAAAATAAGCTAAATTTGATATATTGGAGCAAGATTTCTAGTGTACAATTTTGCACAACACATCGAGGGGTATTTTGCGATTAAAATAGTCCAAAGGAGCAATTGCTTGGGTCTCTAGGTAAATTCTTTGTTTAGGTAAAAAAAAAAATGCAAATAATTTTTTTCAATACACAGGTCTGAATTTGGAACTCCTAGGATGATAATAAACATTTATAATCATTAGATCACGGCAAATATGCTTCGAGAAGGATAATATAGAGTTATTTAACATGACATATAATATCCGCATAATATCAGAACTTTCAAAAGCTATAACTTCGAAACTTAATCAGGCCGCTTGATTCTGACTTCACTATCGTTCTTAAACCGGTAATATATATATATTTAAAAAAAAAGAGCTGATACTGGGGATAGGTACAGCCACTGTTGTAGGTGGGAAGTTCGGAAGGTAAGATACATAAGGTTATTTAATTTATATCTGTAAGTAACGATAAACCATTACTGATTAAAGACTATTCCAAGCGCAGTTAAGTAGTACATAATTTGAAGTACTGTAATTTTTTTTGCGATTTTCGTTTAAATTTGATTTCAAAATGTTTATTAAAAAAAAACAAGTAGTCCGATGATTTTAGATATTTGACCACGTCTAGGTAAGTTCAATATAAGTATTATTTAAAAATTTCGAGTCTCTACGAGTATTTTTAACTGAACTAAAATGACGTAAATATATTGTTAACAAAGCAGTGCTATTAACCAGATTCCGCTTTTTCGTTAGTAATGGTTAATCGTTACGTACAGATATACGTACATTCAATCTCTCCTCTATCTTATCAACTTCTCACCTATTACAGTGGCCCAATCGCGTGCGAAGTATGTCCGTCTTTGGCTTATTTCTAATGCACTCGTATAATTCACGAGAATAAACATAGTCGACATTATATTATTTAGAACGTTAATTTTCGATATTCGTGATAATTTAAAAAACGTTATTTATCAGTATAATTTTATATGATAAATGTAAATGGTTAAGTTTGAATAAATTTCGGACACATAGTGTGGACGTTTGTAAAATAATATTATAATGTGTATTTTAGCATTTCTTTCAACGACGTATAAAAGTTGACCATAAATCATAGCCGGGAATTCGACGAGTATTGTTAAAATTACATAATATTTTGTGGACACGGGTTAAGGACGGACATTCAAAAGTTTTTTTTCAATTCCTATATTTTATCAAAAAAAAAAAAAAAAAACAAAAAGTTTCGTTAGGTGATTATGCTTAAATGGTTTTTTATCATTTGTGTATTACCTACTTATATTATTCTTCTTCTACCTCGGTTCAATTGCTTTCTGAAATGTTATGAATTACTTTTCTAAAATAAAATTAATGATTTGTTTTGTTGTATCTTAAGTACATGTCCATTTGTGCATTTTTTTTTAACGACAGCGTTAATCGTATAAAACATATATCAAATACATCCGATTTGATGAAATTATTTTAATTTGGGTTTTTTTTTTACGGTCGAGATAGAGTTTTGTTAACGCGTTATTAAACTATTGAACAGAAGACTCATTATAATGTTATATGGTTTTGACTGTTTGAGTGACCTGTCTGTATATTCAGACAATAGGGTACCGTATTATTATGTATTTACAAACAATTTTATCAAATCCGTCGATTTATTTTTAATATTTTAAATTTTGTATAAACAATTATCATTAAAAATAAGTGATTTTGATTTTGATGTTATTTTCGCTTTCACGTCTATTCACGTTTGTATAGGTCTAAACGCGATGCAGTTGTCATATTAGAAAACGGTTGTGAACAAAGTAACGGTTCGAATTAAAACATTTTCTGATGTATTTTTTTTTTAATTCTGCGATCGTTTGTTGTATTATTTTCTGTGCACCGTACTAGAAAATTTGAAAACAAGAATGAAAAAGTTTTTGATGAGTTCCACTAAATTAATACCATATAGTATTGAATGATATTTATTTATTCTTAACGCAGATTACGGTTTTATACATATTCTTGCTTAGTTGGTTTTAATAAAATAATTTATATTTATAAAACAATTTAATTTAGGTATATTTAGGTTATGTTAATAGTTATATTTTTGATGCATATGCCATAAATATTTCAGTCAGAACTTATGTGTAGTGTTATCATAACTTCTATTTATTTATTATAATTATAGTAAAAAAATATTGGACATTTTTAATTCTTATATATCTAGACATATGAAATACATATTATTATAAAGATTGTAAATATATAGCGGTTTTGTTAATTAATAATTGATAAAAAATGCAATAGCCCCTGCTACACTGTCAATGATTTTGCACGTTCTCATATTTATAATATTTGTTTAATACTACATTCGATGTTTTCTATTCGCGTTTCCTTAAATAGGACACTTGGTTCACGTTTCACAAAGTGACATGGCCGTAAAAATACGATTGAGTATAATACTATTGAGCAAATACCGTTTTAGCAACACAATTGAGCATAGAATATTTTATGGGATGTTGCCACATTCACGTTGTCATAAGTTAGTAATTTATTATTTTCACGTATTATTACACCAGTTATTATGCTATCAAAGTCAAATGAGCCACGAGCTGTGAATCGAGCCTTGTTTTATCGATAATGTTATCGATGACAATAAACGTTAATTTTGTCGGTAGCATACTGACCATTATAGACGGTTATAGTAGATAAGTAAATATTTGAAAATTATTATAGAAATAATTCAGTTTATGTAGTGAGTGTTCGATAACATCATGTCTATTTTTTCAAAATGGCCCTAGTGAATTTATACAAGTATAAATTAGTTGGTGAATGAAAAAAACATAATCTTTCGAGATGGAGGTGTACCAACAATAAATGTTCAGCAATAATGTTTTCATGTTTAGATAAAAGTAATATGGTTGAAACTTCTGGACAACAATATAATATCCAAAATTTAACTGAGATAATAGCAACACAAATTTAGAGAGCAATAAAAAGCAGAAAAACTAATTTCCACACAGCCAAATAAAATTATTCGCATCGAACTTTTAAAGGCATCTTCAATGTAAAGTTTCAATCATCAAAATATTTTTCGTTTAATATAGTTCATAATTGAAAAGTTGATCGTAGAGTTCTTTTATGCTCAATCGTGTAGATTTTCTTTTGTATTTCTATGTCCTTTAATATGCTGACACATTTGTTCAATCGTGTCATAAAAAGGTGTTTTATGCTCAATTGTGTTATAATCAACAGGGCGTGCTCGTGGGAAGGAGGTGAGAGTGTCATATCACCTTTGGCCTTTATTCTTTTTCATACCTAACTCATTTATGGTTTATGAATTTCCTGAAATTATTTTTCATCGTAACCATCGCAACTACCATTCTTTAAATGCAAATGATTAAATGAATATCCATGTTTCACAAAAGAACATACCTAATAATATTATGTCATATTATTTTTAATAACAGATATATTGTTTCAAGTTTGAAGGAGTTGGTTATGTCAGGTTACAAAGTATTAAACCGATTTCTAACTGAAAATATGTTTAATGATAAAACTTATAATATTCAGATTCTCCTCTCTCCTCTACCATATCACTTCCAAATGAAAATGCTGAGTACGCTACTGCAACACTTTTAATCCGACTGTATTATAATAGTATCATATTCTCTTTTTATAATATTGTCATTTTATGCTTTAAACGGCGTTACTTAGAAAACTTTTAGAAAACGAATTGTTGTTGTTCTTAAATAATTAGATGGGTATTTGATAATTATTTTCGCGAGTCTCGTCGGTGTTTCATTAAATGCACTTGAAATTATATGCGTTTAAAATGAATAGGTAGGTACTGCATAATAATTAGCGACGACCCAACGCATTTGCATTTTGCTGCCAACGTAGACTATTTCAAAACCGTCGAATATGTACCTATTAAATTCACAACCGCCGGGATTATATTTACACAATACATTCGTTATAATCGAAACCTTCCGAAGTTAGGATGAGACGGAATACTGATTCGTAATATTCGTACGAGATTTCACATTTTCTAATTAAAGCTCAATCGGTTAATGAATTGGTAATACCTGGCAGATTGTTTACAGTGGTTAACTACAAGAACTTCTATAATGTACGGTCCTTAGTTACGGTGATATTTGTGTAATTTTTCATTTAGAATAGCTGTTCTCTACGCGATTTGGATATTCGCGTAGTCAAGTGGCATATCACAGGTTTTTGGTCGATTTAAATTTACCGAAATGTGTTTTTCGTGCGTGCGCCAAAGTGTCGTATAGTATTGCTGTTATAAATACTATATAAATTTAAAATTGCTTTGTTTTGGAGAATTTGGTCTCAATTCTCCCGCCCATGTAGAGACTTCACTGAAAATAATTGTTGAATTGTTTTTGTAATATCACACAAGGTAGCTCATAGGGAAAAATTGCAAAAAAAAAAAAAACCCGAAAAATTTGTTTAGTAATCATCGATATCGAACCCAACAACAATTGTTCATGAGCACCGTGTTAGCTCATTCAGACCCCATCAACGCTTCGTAAAAGTATTTGATTTCCAAACTACAAGTGCCATGAACATAACATTAGAACAAGACTTAGGTGCAGGTGAGCTGCACGAGCGTCTAGGGCACAGGTGTATTATGTGCGCCTTAGTGTTCAGATATTATAAGGAGATTTTTATAGAAATTAATAAGTTACTAGAAGAAACATAACTTTTCACTCATTACATAGGCCTTCACGTAACATTGTTAGAAAAGGTCAGTAGCCAGATATCAATAGTGTAGACTTCGCAAATGAATTAGTTGATTTTTATCAAATTTTATCGGTGGAATAGAAAGCATTAGAAGTGGTATTAAAGATTATACCATATACTGACACAAAAAAAAAAAAACATTTTTGAAGTGGATCATACTTAAAATTATTTTGACGATAGTTCTTATACCTGCACATAGAAAACGTAGTTTTTCAAAACTTAAACTCATTAAGACATAATATCTAAGGTTAAATATGGACAATACAAAATAATCATCACTTGCGATCGTATTTATTAAAAATTATATGTTGAAAAATTTCGATAGACAACCATGATAGATGAGGGATTTGCAGAGATAAAACCATGAAATAAGTTTAATTAAAATTATAAAGATAATATAAATTAACGTTATAATCTTATCTAACCTAACCTTATCATTATAAAATTACATTATTTTAAATTTATTTAAATAGTATAAATTATTTAAAAATTTTGTTTTATACTCCCATTAAAATAAATTTAACCTTGACGAGTGCATTAATTTTTCTTGTCTACGGTGCTAATTTTCCTACGACTAACTCTGCATGAAACTTATGACGATATCATTTTTTTTTATATATTATTAGAATATTAATAATATTTTTAATGTTTCATACCTATTCAGGGACAAGACCTGTAAACCTTTTATAATATGACTCGAAAGTATTAATAATTACGATAAATTCGTACGGTTTTAATTATTTCTTTTCTTTTAGTGGACTGCTGAACTAAAAGACTTTTGAAAATTAATAACAAGCCGAATAAATCGAGTTGTCCGCAAAACTGAACCATTTACTACGTAGCAGCGGTCCGTTATAAAGAGTTTCCCATAAAGTTCCGTAGGAATCGTCAGCGATATTTTCACTACTTTGGATTTTAATAGCTCCCTTTTCTCTCTCTTTTTTTTTAATCGAATAAACCCCAGTCGTCTTGTCGTCGAGTTAATGGATGCCTAATAATAGTGCGATGGTAAAAAAAACCTAAACACAAAAAGTGCAGGGCTATGCGACAATCGATCCCAGTGGCGCATTTAGAATATATGCGCCCCGGGGCGAAACTATTTTATTGCCACCCTCTCCTCTATCACATATTTTCACCCACTAATATTTACCTCTGACCTTCCCTCCTCACATTCAATTACTGATAAATGTGTCCCTTGCTTGTTTTGAATAACATTTTAAAATGTATATCCTAGGGTTTAACAATTTACAATTATTTCAAAGTGTTTTGTATTCAAATAAAAAATCATACCAAATAATGACATAAGTAAATTTTGTATACGTTATCACTTGTTTCACTCATACTAAATTCAACTAAAAATAATTTGACATAATAATCTGTTATCACATATTACTTATAACTTGAGGGTGCAAAGTGTAGACAACTCCTGTAGAAAAAAGTTTATATAAAAGGCGACCGTTCTCGACATAAAATCACTCATCGTCCTATTATACAACAACGCTTACAACAATTACCTATAACTTAAAAAGATAAAATCATAAGTTAATCTATCTATGAAGTACAATTAAAGAAATCTGTTATAATCTGTAACCTTGACTTTTTTGGATTTTTTTTTCCCTTTAAAAAATTGTTTTGTGGGGAATAACTCAACTTTTCCTGTTCTTATAGTAGAGGTAAAAAAAATAAAGATCACATAGTAAAGAATTTAATATGTGTTCCAGCGTGTTAACTGATAGTTTAATCAATGATGCTATTAAGTGTTTTTTTTGCTCATAAACATTATGTAATGAGAAAAATAGCCCTTCCCCAAGTTATAATTAAAATTGCGGCCTTTACGTCGCGTTCGAAGTCGATTCGGTCATCGAGTTCGATATAACCTAACTTAACCAAAATAATCCAATTGGTTTTCATTACCAGTACGGCGATAGCCTGCGCAAAGCTGACGGTGTGGCAGAGGTCGTTACCGAATGGCCAGTACTGCAACACCAGCGTGGAAACGAACGAGAACGGCACGCAAAACAGAGTCATGAGCAGATCGCCAACGGCCATGTTCATGATGAACAGATTGGTGACTGAGTGCATCTGGGCGGAGAACAAGACCACGTAGCACACCAACCCGTTGCCGATCAGCGCCACTGCGAACACGGTCGTGTACATAAGGTAGATGACGGCTTGAAACGCGGTAGAGCCCAGTGGACTGTCATGCTCATTGTGGCATGACATGTTGGTCCAGTCAGTCCAGTTCCACTGGGCGTTAAGGTCACTGATGTTTATTTTCCAATCGGGCATTATGCTGTCGTTTGACATGATACGATATCTGTCGTCTCACGACACCGGTTACGATGACGGGTCTCTTAAGACACCGTCCGCAGACCCTGCAACAATAAACAACGCGTCGTTAAAAATAATTATTATGTAGTGCATTATAAAAAAAAAGAGCTGATACTGAGGACGGTGAGGCCATTGTTATAGGTGGGTAGTTGGAAAGGGGGGATATATAAAGTTATTTCGTTTATATCTGTAAGCAATGATAAACCACTGTTAACGAAAAACGATTCTGAGCGAAGTTCATACACGCATGATTTGAAAAGCTGTAATATTTACGATGCTTATCGAAATTTGATCTAAAAACAATTATAAAAAAAATGACCACATTTTATTTTTGACCACTAAGCACAACTTATAATTAACTTCTCGTTAAATTTTTAAGAATTTTTGTTTAGTTTAACATTTTTATCCACAGAGTACTAACCTACCAAATAAAAATTACGTAAAACTCGCAAAATTAAAATGTATATGAACAGTTCAAACAAATTATCGCGTCTAAAAAAGCAAATGTATATGTTTTATAATCAAATTTTAAGTATCTACAAATATTTTTACCAAAAAAAAACAAAATTGAAAATAATAAAAGTATTATTTTCGTAAATATTCTTGTTCTAAGTATTTTTCGGTTTGGTTTAATTATTAAAAAGCTCTTAAGAAAATCAGAAAATGACTTCTAGATCAAATAAACCAATTGACTTAAGAATATAACAGCAAATTTTTCTTTTCATTTTTTTAGTGGACGAATCTTTATGGTAGAAAGCATAGCCCTTATAAATTTTAAATAATGAAATCGTTGCGCCGTAAGTTGAAAGTTTTTGGTTTTTCTCAATTATTATGAAAAATATTTTCGATATTTATAAACGACTATCTTTGTCCAATGGCTATATATTAAAAGGAACAAAATTGATTAATTGTTATTTTTCAATTGTAGTAAGATTTCTGGTAGAAAACATTGTGTATACATACAAATTGAGAATAATGAAATTGGTAACGCTGTAAATATTTACCCTTTTAACTATGATTTTTTCTCGGGTTTATTCCAATATTTTTGAAAAGAAGATCAAAAATACAATTTTATCTACCTAAAACAAAAACCAAAAAAAAATTAGACACATTATAAAAATTCTTCAGAATGTTATGCGAGTTATAGAAAGTATAAAAAATGTTGAATTAAATATTCGATAAAAGTTTCACGATTATTTCTATTAAATTATAAAAAATAAAAATAAAATAGAAAATTACAGGCACGAATAATTGTGTACATTTTTTCGTTTTTTCCACCCCGGGTTTTTCTTAATTATTAAAAAAACTCCAAAAAAAATAAAAATTCGTAAAATCACCTCCTTTATGCATCAACTAAACAATATTTGGTACCGAAAACCACACTAAAGTTGACAGTCAGAGTGAGATTTTGAAAAAAAGAGCATTTTAAAGAAAAAAAAACACACATAATAGTATATGTACATAATATACATTCCTCGTGTCTTTCATAATCTCAAGTTAAACAAAAGTCTTAAAAACCGCCAGTCACTATATTCTACTTCTACTTTAGAATCTGAATTTTTAATTGTGGTAATTATTTTCACGTAAATAAAAAAAAAAAAAAAATGATTTGTTTACATTAAATATTCATTTTTTACGATTTTTTATTGCACGCCATTTTCGAAATTCCTATAAAAACCTTATAAATAAATACTGGGAAAACTGTAAGTTTGCATAATAATAAATAACGATCGTGTTTCTAGTTCTTTTATATACTTTCACCGTGCTTGTTGGCACGATTTTTTACCCAGACGGTAATTATTATAGTTACTCGTATATTAGATTTTTTTTTTTCATACTAAATGTCATCGTCAGGTGCCGCGGGGCAAAGCCTTTTAGACCTCTCGGTACGCCAACAGTCGACGACACGTGAAATATATTGTAAAGTTATGTTGTAAATCAATCGGAACGGAATAAAACGAAATCCGATTTCGTTCCGAACCCGATATTGAGTTCCTCTGACTGTCATGCTTACCGAATCTATTATGGGCTGAATAGAGTGACATACGAGGCTTCGGCGTAATAGAATAAATATGTCCCACAAATGCTTCTTGAATCAGTGCAGATACACGTTTAAAAGAAACAATGGTATAGTGGATTTGTCGTTCTGCATAGGATGGTCATAATATTATATAATTTCTACTGTTTTTAGGAAAATTATTGTACCGTTTTAATTATAGTTCGTCTGCCGTTTACTTAGTTTGTCGAATAATCGTAAGTATATGCATTTCAAAAACAATAGTATACCTGATACATATATTTGCTAGTGGCGAATGTAATGATTCGGGGAATTTTCTACACAAATAAAAATATTCAAATTCACAAGGTCATTTTGAAGACATTTACCTACTCGAGTAAAATATTGTTGGATCAAACAATGATTTTATTATTATTTTATAATATTAGATATATTATGATTTTTCATTGCGAGCTTACAGGAATTACGGGAAAAGGGTACGGGACGCGAAACAAATCGTTTGAGTTAGTAATATTTATTTATTATAAATGCGAATTATTCAAAAGTCACTAAAACTTGCAATAAGACCAATATATCTGAAGACATTTCCCGAGTACACTTCTTCAATTCCAGAATCCGTGTATATTTTATTATAAAGCAATCAATAATACATTTTGTTTAACATAATCGTTTATATTTTGTATAATTAAAATCAGCTAGTTAGCTAATTATAATTAATAATAAAATTATGATTTTGATTTTAAATTTCAACTATGTACTCTCTAGGACCTAGAGTCTAGGTTATGTATACTTATATTTAAATATCTTTTAAACATTAAACAGTTAAATATCACAAAATTAAAGACGACTAAAATATGTTTAATTATCATTCATCCCGTTTAAATGAGGACGTTCCATAAATACTGTTTAATTCACATAAATAGTAATTTATAAATATATATATATATATTTTTTTTTTGTGCAATTAAATGAGTAATTATATAATAACAAAAAAAACTAAATGCTTGACAAGTTGTGACAAGTAAATTGTATGCATATACTTATTAAATAGGTCAAATGCATCCCGATTTACACTGACCATTTCGAACCCATTCTACCCTGACGTTTACACTTCTTTAGAGCTGTTTTTGTTAATAATTACAGATAGGTTTGAAAATTATTAAAATAATATTAAAGACATCAGCTATACAGTATACAACGAATAAAAAAAAATCAAGTTACTGTAAACAAATAGCTTGAAAATTTAAAGATGAAAAACAGTTTATTATATGAGATAACAAATAAGAGGCGATTATAATGATTTAAATTTGTTGTATATACATATATACAGTTTTAAAATGAGTGTGACCAGTATAAGACATAAATATTAATATGTCCCCGTTTCGCCCCATAACCTCATTCTCCTTTACGTCCTCTACCTATAAGTTTTACGTCACAAATATTGAACATACTTAATTGATCTAGAGACTAGGTCAACGGTGAAGGGGGTCCGGGCTCATTGGGTTTTTACCTCTAAATCCTGCATCGGCATCACCGAATCGTTTTAAACATATTATTGTTATTATAACAAGTATGTATACTGACTATAAGCATCGTAACAATAACTCGTGCTCGGCGGTTTTTGTTTACTCAACAGAAAGCGATAATATTATATAGGTATTGGTGGTACGAAAGTTTAACCCATAAAGGGTTAAATAATTTAAACCAACGAGACCACCGCATATAATATTTAAGAAAATTAAGTCAGCTAGACTTTTCCTCTTGACAAAGAAATAAAAACGATTAATATTAAAAAACCCACATGTGTGCAACAAAGCTCCGTCACTACAGTCAAATTTCCCATCAATTATTTTGTACAATTTAAATATTCTTCGCAAAGCAATAAATAACTGAATACAATTATAAATAATAATACAATATTATACAAACTACACTGTAATATAGTTAGACGGCGTCCGAGTAAAAGTGGTTAAGTTTGAATTTAAATTATACTGATGGTCGAAAGTGGATAACTCAACTTATCTTCTTACACACAATTATACTTGTGTAACATCATAATACTCTTTTTCTTAATATCGTCTATAATAACCATATGAGATAACCCCTTATGGGTATAAAGACCCATTTATTGTTAATACAAGAAATAAAATTTGAATTTTACAATTTTGGAATAATGATTTAATCCCTATTAGCCAGAGATCATCAAATAAACTATACTATCTACTTATAAAAAATGGCGAAACTTGATGGTAGTGTTGGTAAAAGTCGACCCTACTAAAAAACACATACTTGATACAATTAATGAGATGTCATATTAATTTGTAGAGATATACATTTCTAAAAAAACCCCTCCACCCACAAAAATTCTTACAAAAAAATGAAGAGGAAAGAATGTATAACAGAGAAGAGTGAAAAATTTCAAACCAATCGTAGGATTGATTACAGAAAAGAAATCGGTCATAATTAGTCATGATTTATTATCAGTACAGGTGCAAAAGGCATATTCATTTTTCTTTTGTCACAAATTATCTTATCGAGGGAAAAACATGATTTAGTTTAAAACTTGTGTAAGTGTTTTTTTAGATCGTACATTTATCTGCTGGTTAAGCAACCAACCAAATTAAAGGTTAATCAACTGATCTTGAATTTTTCTGAGGACTTTAAACATCGCGTAGAATAAATTGATAAGGTGTCCCAATTTAAAGTTGTATTTTAAGTATCCCACTATCAATATATTGTATTTACTGCCGTAAACTTTCCCGTTATTTTATACATTTTTTTTTTGTTTTTCCAATTATTATGAAATCCTATGATTTATTATCGTTTTTAACATAATAATATGTATTTTATAAATGCATCATAATAATCATACCGTATCGTAGCACTGTTGATGATCCTCAAAATCCATGTTCTTACTAGTAAACTTCTAGACACATCGAAAGAACTATAATTATATTTTTCAAAATAATGTGAGTTTTTAATACAATTTATTTTCCAAACTACTGGAAATGTA